ATCACATGATAAGATTTAATACTTGATGCAACTAGAGAGAAAGAGTAGTTTGAATAACTCCTCTTGAAAAATTGAATGAGAGAGGCAGAGATATGAAAGTAAAGATTATTTACTATAGAGAAAAAGAGAAGACAGAGAATATAACAAATAGTTATATTCGTAAAAATCGACAATATATTAAGTTTACTTGAACAGAAGATGATAAAGTTATAGTAAAAAAAAAAATAAAATTGTTTGGGCACCTTAAGTCTATTTAAAATTAAGTGCAATAAAAAATACAAAATATTTTTAACTCTTTAAGTGCATTAAACTTACCATAATTTACTTATTAACAATTTCAAAACACTTCAAACTCCAGAAACTAATATATATATATATAAAATTAAACTTTAATCAACAAGTTGTGCACTCTGCTTGCACTTATCTAGCTAATCCGATTCAATATGTTGCATGCAACACACGCGCGCCTTAGTCAAGACCAAGTTTGAAGTCTAGACCAGGTTCAATTGGTTCCTAGTCCCACCTTTATGCACAGCTGCAATGGCGACAAATATTAATTTTGATGATAAAAGTATAGTAATTGAGCCCCATCTCTGTCTCCGTCTCTGTCTCTGCCTGTTTGTTGAAAATAAATCGCAGCTCTGGCTCCGTGCGCTGATCCTACGTGGGATGTCATGTATTTATTGTTGTATGCGTTGTGCGTTTAATGTCACTTGATTTACATTAGTTTGAGCAGCGCAAAAAAAAACGGATACATAAAAACAAAAACAAGCACGTAAGAAAACAAAAGAAACGAGCAAAATAGCAAATTGAATTTGCGGCACTTTGTGTTAAAATAATAAAAAGGAAAAAGGGAAAAATGGCGAGAAAAGCAGATGAGAACAAGTCCTAACTGCTAGATACTCTGTTATTAACTGATACAAACAAAAATTAGAGATGAATAGATATATTCAGGTATATATAAATAAAGATATATTTTCTATATATATCTACGTTGTACACATGATTAAACCTTAATTATTCTTTAGAGATAAAGTTAGGTGTGTTAAAATACACAAAATTGGAGATATAATTTAAATTATTTAGAACAAACGTATGAAATGTTTTAAGAATATTTAATTTGTTTAGATTTTTTCCTAGAATTTCTCTTCTACAGTGCTTTATCTTAGTTCAAAATAAAAATTATAATTCATTATTACATGGAGGATTTTTAATAATTTTTGCATAATTTTTTTTTATATATTCAGCCAGGTAAAATTATAGATTCACTAATTATAGATAGATTAAAGCAGACTCTGTATTCACACCACCGATAGATGGATTCAATATTATATTATAATCATGCTACCTATAGAAACCAATATACCTCTTGAAACACCTCAAGCAGCGCATTTTAAATGAGTCCCGCCAAGTGCTCGACACAATATGCAAATAATCTAAAAATTTATAGGCTTTTGTTGGACTCCCACAGCGATTGCTGCGGCTGCTACTGGGCATCAGCTGTTGTGGCCTTAAGTTTGAGTGGCATGCGGGTAAGCTTAAGGCTTATTATCTTTTTATGAACTGAACTTCGTTTTGGATTGGCCAAGCTTTTGCGTTCTTGGCTTAAGGCTGTGCACGAGATTGTCGGGCTGGGTGTCTTACGCATGATTGATGCGTTGCATGTGTAGTTATCAGAGCCTGAACACAGAACCCAGGACTCCGAGCCAAAGGCAAACTTGACATTTCTTCAATTCGAATTGTGGGCTAAAGTTCAAGGCGTGGCATTTTGATAGAGGGTACGGGCTTCTAGTATAGAGGGTTGGCTGGCTAAATGAACAGCTTCTATGCATGTTGCTAAAAATCCATTAAAACACTTGAGATCTGCTGGCAGACGCGACGCGAACGCGAACGCGAATGCGACTGCGACTGCGACTGCTCTCTAAAAAGAACAACAACGAAATGCATTTCCGTTTATAGTAAAGGCTGCTGTTGCTGTTGCTGCTTTGAAGGCTGCCAACACTCAGACACAACAGCACTTTCCACCCACACCCAAAATTTAAGAAAAACCCCTAAAGAGGAGCACATTAAATGTTATTGATATTGCAATTTTTAGCATTTTTTGTAATTACAGCAAAAAAAAGAGAGAAAATGCTTGCCAGCTATATCAAACAGCCATCAATTGTCTGGCCCAAAACCTTGAGGCTGATTCCTTTGCAGCAGCAGCAGGCGACTGCTACGGCTGCCAGGCGGATAACTGTCTAAATGACACTTAAGCATGTGTTTAAACATGCCAAGCACTTGCCTCACTCAAACTATGCAACAAGCTGTGGCAGCAACAGGGTTGACAGCATCACCAAAGTTCAGGCTTGATGCTGCTGTCGATGCGCTGATAAGTCTTTAGTCTGTGGCCCCCTCCGCCCACATACACACACATACATTGCTCTATATACAAGTGTGCGTGTGTGTGTACGTGTGTATGCTGTTTGCCGCATCTTGCATCGTCTCGAGTTGACTGCGAAGGCAAGTGCCAATGTTGCCAATGTTGTTGGGTAAACTCATAATTGGAATTAATTATGCATTCGCACTTTGCGGACAACTTTTCGAGTGGTTTGAGTGGTTACTAGGCTAAGTGTATATGTGTGTGTGTGTGTGTGTGTGCTGCTTTAATTGTCCTGGTGTGGGTCGCTCAATGCCTAACTAGATAGCAGCCACAAGCAGTTTTAGCCAGCAAGGGTTAAGTGCAAATTGCAGTTATCGTAAGTATTGTCCAACACTGGCTAAAACTAGACAACTTCTCACAGATCAGCAACCAAAATGATATGCCAGCATATCAAAGCTGAATAAAAGCTAGACTCAAAAAGTTTCATCGCAATCTGAGCTTTAAGTTTAAGGCTCTTTTCTATGTGCAGTCAAGCTGAAACTTTGGATCAATTATAATTTTACCAGCTTTTTCACTAAAATATATCATTATTCACAGCTTTAATGTCCTTAAAAAAGCTGCTAAGTTTTCTAAAGCGTTTGTTAGGCGGAATTTAATGAAGTATATTAAATTATAACAATTATATATTTATTGAACTAACTGTATTATTTCTGAATTATATTTATACTCACGTTATTTTCTTATTCGTAATTAAATTATGGAATTGCAATCAATGCCAATATTGAACCGTTTTCAATATTTATTTTGATCATAAGCAAAGCTTTATTAAATTTAATTATAAAAATTTTTTTCTACAAATATTTTTAATTGATACAAATAGTTATATACATAAACATATTTTTAAATTTAATTAATATTAAACGCAATTCAAAATATTAAAAACAAATCGTCTACTTGAATTCGACAAGCATAAGAAATAAATCAAAAAGTAACTTAATATTACAGTTAAATAAAATATATTGCCAAAGTGTAACGGACATTTAACAAGCATTTTCTCTCTTTTAAAAGCCAACTTATTCAATTAGTTGGCAGCATTTTGTTAGCTCAACCGGCACATTTATCTTTTCGCTTTTGTTTTCCCAGCATTTTTTATTTTTTTTTGTTTGTGCCATTTGGCATATTTTAAGCTGTGTAATTTGTAGCTGCTTTATGGCCAGGTACTTGGACTTGAGCGTTGCCCACACCTGAGTCCAATAAGAATAGTGGTATTCCTTTCATATATATATATATATGTATATATATGAATTAGTGTGTGTGTGTGTGTGTGTGTGGGTGTTTCTATTGTGTGGCTGCTTTGTTATGGATTCTTGTAAAATGTTTGAGGCTTTATTAAGCAGCTACTTACATATGTTGCACAGCATGACAAGCTGCAAGGAAGGAGACAGAGGTAGTAAGGGAAGATAGTTTACAGTGAACGGAAATTAATTAAATTTCGACTGCAACATGACAATGCGAAATGACAATGGCAGTTTGACGATAAGAGCGATAAGCGCTAATAAAACGCAATTACCCCAATTGCAAATGCAATGCCAAGAATATCGCAATGGACAATGCCTGCCGGCAGTTTCAGCTTCTGCTGCGTGCCTCTGCCTCTGCCTCTGCCCCTACCTCTTCATTTGGCTGTTATAGTTGTAGCTGAATGCCCCCAGTGGGCATTGCGTACTGTCAGTTATTTCAACGCTCCATTTCATTTGTTTTGACAAGCCAAAGACTTAAATCACAAATGACTTGTGGAACGGAAAAAAAGAAAAGCGTAAAATGAAAATGGAATTGGAAAAGCGCGAAGAAAAATAACAAAAGCCGCAGCCGCGAAATGAGTGAAATGCCAAAAGCTGGACAATGCCAAGCCAGCTCCAAACCAGCTGCAAACGTGCCAACACTCCGCTGTCCAAATCGCAGCCTGCGTCGCACTTGAAGTCTCAGTCTGGCTGGGTGCGGCGCGTGTCATGAGCAAACAAGATAATATTACAGCCAGTCAACGCAAATTGAGCAGCTTGACGATGGTGCATGAGAAACGCATTCCCCATTTTAAATACCCTATTAAATTAATGAAAGACAGAATGAGTTGCTTATATGAGAAACTTGTGCTACATTCTAGTAAATCGAAACATGAAGTTAAGGGATTCTCAAAGAAATTTCGTAGAACTAGATATAATATCTTCCTTCTCGAATCATCTACACTATATGATATATATCTGTAGAGCATAATGCACACATATAACTAAGCCCCTAGAACACTTTCAGTATTATGGATTTACATACTTAAGGTATATAATTAAAAATTTCATTTCAATAACAACAAAATTGTGTTTACTTCCAGGGTATCTTTCAGTCAATCAGCCGTATTAAAATCACTTAATTTTGGTTGCTTTTGTGGCACAAAATGCAAATGAAAACGTCTCAACTTACGCGTTGACTGGCCACAGCCAAATTTGTTGGCAAGCCGGAGGGGAGATGACTGAAGGGCCGGCCAGGAAGGAAAACGATTCTCTATGCCGAACTAGCTGTTAGCCAGAATCGGAAAGTGCTGCCGCACTCTCAGCGAACTAAATGATTGATCGCAGGCATCAATTTACAACCTTATTGCGTGTTCTTGGACAAGTTTTTCTTAAAGCGACAAAAGGCAAACTTAAAGACCAAATCTGGTAAGCTTGGCAAGATTCTCTTACTATTTTCTCTGCTTTTCCTCTTCTCGTTTGTGCATTTGGTTAGGAACGTTTATGAAAATGTCTGGTACATGTTTCGCCTGCGCAAACAGAATGCGAGTGCTGCAATAAAATTCCATTACAGCCGCTTGACTTAAAAACTTGGCCCAAAAAAAAAAGAGAGAGAAGCAAAATATTCGCCAAAGAAGAGTGTATTAAAAGCCAGCCAGCCTCGCGCAATGTGTATGCATAGAGGTGTGTGGCTGTGTGTGTTGGCTTTTTGCATATTTTATGAAACTTGGCGAACATTTAACACCCCGACCAACGTTGCGTATGTGCAACGTACTCACCATAAACGCTGCAAACTCATTACTTGAATTTATTTTGCACTTAAACAAAATGTTTCATTTGCCACAAGCGGCGGCAGCTCCCGTTGCAGCATAAAGTGTAACCAGTTGCAACACTTTAGGCGTTTAGCTCACTGGATCTGCAATGCTTAGCGGCTGGTTGGCAGCAATAGCTGCAGCAGCAGTTGCATCTTTCCGGTAGCCGGCAGCGCGCATGGTGCTTGATGAGATGCAACTGCTGCTGGAACTTGTTGGTGCCATCGCCAATAGTGTCGAACGTGGGGCACAGCGTGTGCGGCTTATGCACTAAGCTGCACATCTCACAAATATTTGTGACGGCCTGCAACACCTGCTCATTGCGTACACAGGCATCCAGCGTCTCCGTTGGCAGGCCGAGATCAATGTTGCTCGTTGGTTCGCTTTGTGGCAGAGGCGTCAATTCGATGCCACATTTACAGCAAACATCTGTCTTTGGCTCGCCTGGGAGCTCACACGGGGCACATTCTTCATCCGCTTGACGTTGACGGCAAGTGCGGCGCGGCGCATAAAACAAACGTTCAACGCTTACCTTCCGCTTTTCGCGATTTCGATGAATCGCTGAATGAGTATGCTTAACTTTCTTCTTCCGTTTCTGGGCCTGCTTTTCCTCATTCTGTTTAAAGTCATCCGATCGCTTCATGGACGCATCGTGCTCAAAGTATTTTACATGTGCATCCAATATGCTCTGTACAACAAGTGCTGAATAACGCTCTTCCATGTTCTTTAGCTCTCTGCACATCAATGATTCGACTGAGTATCGACGTTGGCTTATATCTATCGATGAGAAAGAACTCTTACTTTCGGGCCGCAATCGCATATAGGAATCATATGGTCTATCAAAGTCAAGTTCATCAACCGAATATTTTTCCATTACTTCCAAGTGTTGTTTATATGAACTAATTTTGGTTTTTTGAAATTTCGCACCCCTTTTTACTGCATTGCTGACAATATCGCGAATATATCGCAAATACTGAGAAGCCAAGAGTTTATGTATCGTGGCTTTGGGTATATTAACCTTTATCAAATTATTATATTGATCAGACAAATTTTTCCACATACTATGACCTTGAACCTTTTTGATTATCGTATTGCGATCGACCAGTCCATCCATCATGCTCGGTGCTATTATTACGTCCCTCATGAAATTGTACAGATCACGAAATTCGCCAGGCTTCTTCGTTGCAAATTCGTCCATTAGCTCACTGCCAATAGTTGGCTTCTGAACCAATATATCTGATGAAAAGCTGGCATTCGATTGTTCGGTTTTTGTGTATTGCTGACTGTCATCTGACACTGTTTGATTGTTCAATAAAGCTTGAGCTTTAACCTTTGGGCCTTCAAATCCTAATGGTATTGCAGAAATCCCATTTAACAATTGTTTATCAAACGATTCAGCGTCTTGTTGTTCTTGTTCTTTTTGTTGCTGTAGTTGCTGTTGTATGTGTTGTTGTTCTAGATATTCTAGGTGTTGTTGAATTTCTGGTATTCTTAATAATCGTTCTCGCACTTCGTGTGGTAGTTCTGATAGTTGTCGCAGTGCGTGGTTTTCGTCTTGCAGGCGTCCGTGTTCGCCTTGCTGGTATTGCTGGGTTGTTATTTGTTCGTCATGAGCTGGGTCAAATATGCTAGTGTGTGTTTGTGTTTGTAGACTTCCTTCATTTACATTTAATTTATCGCTTGGTTTAGCCTGTAGTTGTATCGACTTCGTATCATCGTCAGCTGAGGTATTTAATAAGAAACTTGTTGGGTCTACAGGTGCTGTATCGTTGATTAAATCCTTAAACTTTTTGAGACGCAATAGTTTTTCCTGTCGTGCGATTTCCAAATTGGTTTCCAAACGCAAATTTGGTTTAGTTACCTCGATTGATTTAGAAGTATGAGATGATTTTATTTCTTCCCCCGGTTTCAGGGGGTGTTGCACCAATGATACTGAAGTTTTTTTATTATGTATTTGTCCGTCTGTTCTATTCGTAGGGAATCCCGGAAATTTTATGTCATACTTTTTCGCTATGTATTTTCTTGGTATTTCAAGTGTTTTGAACTCTTTGATTGATTTTCTTTTTATAAAAGATTGTCTCAATGGTTGGACCGGATTAAAGTTATTAGCGGAATCAAGTTCCGGATAATAATCCGGACCAAGAATTTTACTATCATCGTCAATTCTCTGTTCCTGCTTTTGTTCGAGTTTTTTTTCAAGTTCGTTGGCTTTTGTTAACAATTCCATCATATGCTTCGCTGAACTATCTTTATCGAGCAGTTTGGAATTGTCACCTAATTCTGAAGTATACATTGTGCCAATAATATTATGCAATTTAAATTTCATATTCTTGATGCTTTTATATGAAAGCTTTCTACGGGTTTTTTGCTTAGTTGGTAATTGATATTGCTGTTGATGTTGAAGTTGAAGTTTATACTGATGTTGACGTAGACGTTTATATTGATGTTGACGTAGACGTTTATATTGATGTTGATGTTTCCTTTTTTTCTTGCCACGCTTCATAAATAGATTCGACGTATTCAATGCAGATAGAACACTTAAATAACTTACATTATCACGAATTTTACGTATTTTCTTTCGGCTCACATCTTTTAGAAACTTTTTAATCCATTTAAATTCTATTTTCAAGTTTTTTATATTTTGTGGTTTACCATCAATAAGTATTGGGTGCTGTTCGATTTTCTTGCGATATATGCGCAAGCTTTTGGCAATAATCCATTTACGTCTTGGATTTATTTTCAAACGTTTGCGCAGCATTCGCAAGCGTGCATTCACTTCACCTTCCTTAACGAGCAATTTTCCGATTTTCTTTTGCAGTTTTTTGTTCCTATTTTTCCATTTCATTAGCGATCTTTGATACTTATACCACAGCCTGGCGATCTCTGCCTTAGCTTGGGCCCTGGACGACAATCTCATTATCCTCAACTTGTCGGCTATGAGATTGTTTACGGCTTCGGCCAAATCCTTTCGTATTTGACGAAACGCATACAAACGTTGACGTGCAAGCAATTTATATCTGGTAAGTTCTGAGTTCTTCTGATGAATCTGTCTTTTGATGTGCATTATACGCAACCAGCGTCTCGATAGCAGCGCCATTTTCAAATAAATTTAATTAAGTAAATTTAAGAATTTTTGTCTTTCAATTTCTCAAATCAATAACGCAGCTACTAATTTCGAGTTTGTCAAAGAATTTTCCAATAAATATGAATTTATTTTCTATGAATTTCAATAATTAAAAAAATTTTGTGTATCAAATTTGATTGAAATATCTTAAGTAAATTGGGCTTTCAGCTTGTTAGAAAAAAAACCATTTAGTAGCATGATTTAGTACAATGAAGCTTGTTAAAGCTAACCTCTGTTTAGAGATCATCAGAAGAGAAATCCAGTTTAGCAGATTTTAAGTATATAGAATATATACTGATAAGACTAAAGGTAACTAAGCTTAGTAAAAGGTAAGTTATTAATACATGATGCATAATGGTAAATATTTTGAATTCGAACTATATGATATTTAAACTGATTCAAATGATTGCGAAAAATTCCTATCTCTGAGAGAAACTGAGAGGAAACAGACAGAAGGCAGAGAAGAGAGATTAGAATATGGTTAAATTGGCTTGGCTGTTAATATATTTCTAGAATATATTACAATTAAAGTAAGAAAGAGATTTAGCCCAACATAGCACATATGATTTATTTACAATCCTATTTGATTTCAAGCTCTATGGTCTTTTACCTCTTCATTCTAGTCTTGTTCGTAATAACGAGTTTATAAAACGCATGAGCCACAGGGTCAAGCTATTAGCGGGGCTTTTGCTGTACTTTTCTTTCAAGGTAAATCACCGACTGTGTCGAACGGGTATTCCGGGCGATACGCTTGTTGCCTTATCAGCAAAGGCGACCCCAGACAAGCGCTCGCAATGTAAATCACATGAGATAGGGAAGCACAGTAACAGCATCAATAGCAGATCAGCTTGTTGTGCTAGCCTACTATATAACAAGTATAAAAACCAGGTGGAAGCCACACTCAACAGCAACAGCTTGAAGAAATCAAAGCATAAGCAATAGCAACAATTAAACATGAGCCAAATGTACGCAATCTGTATCATTCTTAGCATTGGGCTGTTAGGCGTTTATGCCACTGCGATGCCACAGCAGCCGCATGTCCAGCATCTGGTCTACTATCCACCACCTCCGACTCCTGCTCCGATTTTGCGTGCACGTCGCCAGGTGCTGGGTGGTTCGCTAACTTCAAATCCCTCCGGTGGAGCTGATGCTCGCCTGGATCTAACCAAGGCTATAGGCACGCCAGAGCATAATGTAATTGGACAGGTATTTGCCGCGGGCAACACACAGACGGGCGGACCCGTCACCAAGCCCGTTACAAGCGGCGCCAGTTTGGGCTACAACAAGTATGTTTACCAATTACCTATGGCCAGCAGCTAACTCTAATCTTTGCACAATCTCTACCTCAGCAACGGCCTCGGCTTGGATCTGACCAAGACGCACACACCAGGCGTACGTGACAGCTTCCAGCAAACAGCCACGGCGAATCTATTCAACAATGGTGTGCACAATTTGGATGCCAAGGCTTTTGCCTCACAAAACAAGTTGGCCAACGGCTTTAAGTTCGACCGCAATGGTGCTGGCCTTGATTACTCCCATATCAATGGACATGGCGCCAGTCTGACGCATAGCAACATTCCCGGCCTTGGCAAACAACTAGAGTTGGGCGGACGTGCAAACCTCTGGCAGTCGCAGGATCGCAATACACGACTCGATCTCAGCAGCACAGCATCCAAGTGGATGAGTGGACCACTAAGTGGTCAAAGAGACTTTGGCGCCAACTTGGGTCTGTCACATTACTTTGGCTAAGCATGTCTGCTGGAAAATTAAAATATGTTCATACCACATATTTTATTATATTTATTTTGCCCTAAATCAACATTTTGTTATTTAAATTGGACATTGAATTAATAATTTTTACGATTCCATTAGGAAAATTGAAAAATAAATAATTTATTTGAAAAATTTTGATGTTTTCTTGAAATTAAGAGCATGAATATATACTGATTAAGTAAAGATTATGTTAATCACACTCACAGATTGACAATAGAAGAAAAACGATTATTTCAACGATCAATTTCTTAAAATATAATTCAATTTAATTAAAAAAACAAAATTTTCTAACCGCATAATAAAAGAAAAACAACAAATTATTTATTCAGATACCTAAAGCCTGCTGTGTTGGCCCAGCTTACGTTTAGAGGTCTATAAAAGCCCTGTCTGCTGTTCGCCTACTTCCTTGAAGATCTCTGCTGTTTTCAGCAGCTTGATGAAGCGTGGCGAATAATCTTGAAATACCTGTTGATCGTCAGCATCTTCACTAATGGTGGCCTTTCGCAGCAGTGCGTTTAGCTGAGCATTACGCTGATTACGCTCCAGGGTATCGGACATTTTGCGCAAATAGATTAAATCCATGAGCAGCTCGTCCCGCACGCCGGCCGCCTGCTTCTGCTGCTCAAGAGGCAGCTCCTCGAACTCTCGCAACAACTTTTTGACAATACGCGACTTTTGCTCAATGTTCGCCGGCTCCAGAATGCCATCCTCCTGACTGTAATTTTCGGCCAGTAATCGCAGATTTGCTTCACGTTTATCTCGCGTCTTTTGCTGCTCCGCCATATTTTTAACTATTAGATTATAGAACTCCACCAGATCCGGACGTAATGGTAAACAATTGCGCATTTGCATCTGCTTATCAATGAGGTCGCTTATGGTTTCCATAGTGCGACGCACCATGAATTCAGTCTGCGCCAGTTGCTTCTCATTCTGATTGTTACGAATCTGATAGAAATTCTTCGGGTTCTTCCCAGCGCATTTGCGATTCTTTGCCAGAACTGTGATCAAAGCATCCATGCTTGGATCATTACTGACCATATCGAAAACGGCATGAACTATATCATCGGATAGCTTGCCAGAGATTAGCTTTCCATAGTGTTCGCTATAAGGTTCATTCATATCTAAGTGTATATCCGAAGTGGAGTTCACCTTGGAGCTGAACGTTGTGTGAAAATGTTGCAAATATAATTACACTCTCTTTCAATCTCTTTCCGCTTCCTCTCTCTTTCCACTTACCTTTTGTCATGATCAGCTTTGCCTTTCCCCCCTTTCTTACCCTTTTTCTTATCGGATCGTTCTTTTTCTTTGTGTCGTTCCTGCCGTTGTTCTTTGGCCTCTTCACTGCGATCCATGGCCTCACGTGAATAACGCTCGTCCTGATATAAATCCATATTGCCCTCATTCGAAAGCAAATCCTGTTGAGCAAAATATTCAGCCGCACTAAGCTGCTTACCACTGGGCAGCACGATTACCGTACCATTCCCAATGAATTGATTGGTTTTCGGATCTCCACACACATTCGCATTCAACGACAAATTCAGTTTAACTGATTCGGGTCTATTGCATATATTACCAGGTAATGCATTGCCTGGGCCCGGTGTTGCGCCATCTGTTTGAATAGGCACACACACGGGGTTTACAGTGGTGCCAGCAGGAGTTGGTGTTGTTAGTGGCGCTGTTATTGTGCCTTTAGTTGGTGATGGTGTTGTGGTTGTTGTTGTTGCTAGTGTTGCTTTTGCTGTTGTTGTTGCTGCTGGTTCAGTTGTCAGTTGCTCGCAGTTCAGCTTTTTGCTCTGGTTAAAGATCGGATCAAAGTAACGATGCACGCCATATAAAGGCTTTAACTGATAGGATTCTAAATTTTGTTGATGTTGCTGCTGCTGTAACTGCTGTTGGTCTTGCGGCTTCTGCATCATGGCCAGCTCATTGAACAGTTGAGTGAAATTGAGATTCGACTTTAAGTTGTTGGTCAGCAACTGTTGTTGAAATTGTTGTTGCTGCGGCGGCTGACATTGCTGTAATTCATGCGGCTGCAACAACTGTTGCTGTGGCTGCATATATGATTGCGACATATAAGGTTGCAGATTCACCGGCTGATAAGCTTGTGGATTGTTGTATCGTTGACTCATCATGGGCACCTGATAGCGTGAATCGGAGAATATATTTGTTTTCGAAGCGTCCAATTCCTGCGCAGTTTCCTCGTTTTTGGCACTGGTCAACTGGAAGCGCTCATAGGGCAGGGCATTGTCATTGTCACTGTCTTCCGCTATTTTAGCTGCATCCAGATAAAGATCGTTGCCCAAGTTTCCATAATGCAAACGATTACCATTGTGATCCTCGGAGGCATCTAGGACTTGTGAATGGCTATCGACGATATTTAGTGGCCGTAATTCTAATTCCGGTGGGGTCAGTAAAGAGAGATCTGACTCTGATTGTGACTTCGAATGTGAATCCAACTGAGATAACTCCGACTGTGAATCGGACAGTGATTGAGAATGTGAGAAGCGCTGAGACTGAGGTACAGATTCCTGCTGTACATCTGAATGGAACTGTACATAGGGTTCTGCTTCTAATTTAGGATATCTTTCAGAAATAGTCCGTTGCCCTAACTGCGAATCTGGATGTGTTTCCGATTGAACCTCTGATGGCTCGTCCAACTGTGTCTCGGATTGAATCTCCAACTTGGTATCTTGATTTCTTTTAGAACTGGACTGTGCGTCCAGCTGTGCTTCTGACTGTGCTTCCAATTCGGAATAGCTTTTGGATCTCGGCTGCATTTTCGACATGGTTTCTGATAGAGTGTTCAACTGTGAATGGGATTGCGGATAAGGCTCTGCTGCTTCTGATCGTGGCTGCAGCCGGGAATGCCTCTTGGATCTCAACTGCGTCTCTGACTCATCTGACCTCGATCGTGCCTCTGCCTTCGTCTGCAGAACAGATTTTGATTGTGCTTCGACTTGGGCAGTTGCTTCTTGCAGTACTTGTTGCTCCGTGTCCACTGAGCGCTTGCTACGCCGTTTGTAATGCGACTCTTTGCTCAAATCAACATTTCGATTTAGTCTATGTCGAAGCTTTCGTTTCCGAAGTCGGCGCTTGATATTGCGTTTATCTCGCTCCTTTTCATGCTGTGAAATCTTGGTGGGAAGCAGCTTGATCCCAGCATCTGGATGACTCATGCACATACCATTGCGAGGAAGCAGCTCAGGCCGCTCTTCGCGATTTGCCTTTCCAGCGTTGACTGCATTCTTCATGATTTCTTTTTCCTTTTCATCCACTAACCTCACGTTGACCTCCTCTTGTGACTGCGCCTTGTTTAGTTGCTGTTGGGCATCCTCATTGACCGATTGAGACTGTTTTGTTAAAAACTGAGCATCCGCTGACACATCGGCATGTTCCTGAAGCTTCGACTGCTCATTGACTTGGGCAGCTTCGGGTTGAACTTCTACGACTCCTAATTCTTGACTTGGCTTGAGCTGATCCACGCCTCGGTTCTCGATTTTTAACTCAGTTTCTGTAAGGATAGGCTGCGCCCTGTCATCTTTAACAGTTTCTGGTGCGGACAGTCTGGCCATTATAGCATCCCCGCCAGGAGGCATTTGCTTGCTATTATCATTGCCACCATCTTGCCACGCTTCACTTTGCTTTAAATTGGATTCGTTCTCAATTTTTGTAAGCTTGAGCTCGGTTTGCGTCTCCTTCAGCTGTTCGGGCTGTCGCTTAAAGCGTTCACCATCATGCTCCATGGTCAGCTTTGCATTCGCATGCACATAATCTCGCAAGGTACGCTGCTTTGTCGCCGGAAACTGATCAAACTGCGGCATACGATAGTCGTAGCTTTGCGGCATGTCCAGCAGACGTATATTTGGGAGATCTAAATTAGAACTACCTTTGCTATCAGCTCTGCCCTCGATAGAGCCGAGCGATTCGTATGGCAATTTCATAATATCAGCTTTCTGATCGTCCTCCTCCTGCTGCTGCTGTCGCTCTTCCTTCTCTCGTTCTCGCTCCATCTTAAGCTGACGTCGCATTAGCATATCATCCACATAATGGGCACGCAGCGTATCAGAGAGCGCATTGCTCGGCAACGATGGTCCCATGCCCTTTCGCATTAGCCTATTGCTTGTCTTCAATTTGATCTCGTTCATGGGATTGAAGCCAATGCTGGAACTGCGCTTTTTAAGCCCAGCAGGGTAGCGCATCTTGGTAGCTTGTTCAGCAGCCTCCTGTTCGATTTTGGACAGCTTATAGTTGGCCTCGTGTGATAGATTATTGGCATTTAGACGTGGCAATTGAAGTCGTGCCATCGTTTGCTCATAGGCACCAGATGGCACAACACCATTGCCGTAATCTGGCTGTAGGCTATTCTCTGTATCTGGTTGGGTCTCCTTTTTATTGTCGCGACTCTGTTGGAGTTCATGATTATTCAATTGATGTTGCATTTGACGCAGTTTAATGTCCAGCTCGCTCGCGCCACCTCTGAGAGGCAGATGATTAGCAGGCAGACTTTCATCCGTCGTTTCTTTGTACTTCTTTTTAACCTTGCCCACTTCGGTTTGATCAAAGGACTTGCTATACGAAGGTATATAATCATTGGACTTGGCCTTGTCAGTAGCTCGTTGGTATTTATTTGCTGGTGTTTGCTCAGCGAGAGTAGCTTCAACTGCTGTTGCATCCTCTGCTGCTGCTGGCTGCTCATGAACAACCCCCGGCCCGAAACCACGTAACCAATCGTCCGCCGCCTGATTCAGCGCCTTATTATCCTTCTGCATAGCTGTTTCCTTAGCGTCTGCTTGGGCAAAGCTTGCCAAGAGATCATCTATGCTATTGCGTCTATGACGATAGAGTTCAGCTCCCTGCACCTGCCCATAATTCGAGTGTATTTCTTGCAGCTGATCGCGCGCCTCATTAATGGAATTCTGAAAGTTGCGCAATTCCTCGCTGCCTGCCTTTAGCTGACATTGTTGTGATGCCTGCGTATTGGTGGTGCCTGTCAGCGCCATCAGCGTCCACCAGAGCTGCAGAAAGATCATCTTGTTGTGCTGCCAGTCGAGTTGTAATTAACTTACAATACATATATATATATATATATATATGAATATATACTATTGAATTGAAAAGTTTTGCGCCAACTGCCTGCGATTGAGTTTTCATTAACTTGGCAACAGGTTGTCTCATGTGTGGAGCGGGCGGAGGGAATAACTTTTTGACAGCCACTGATAAGAGCCCACAGAGTCGTGCATCGAGCGTCGAGTGTCGAGAGTGGAGCAGGATCCATGTGGCATTGTGGCAAGTTTTTTGCACGGCGGCGGCTTCCGACAGCCGCTGCCAGCTGTTTAACATGAAATGCTCTTTGTTACCAATATACAGCACACAGAGCAAAGCACACAGAGCACAGCACACACACGGCAACGCCCACATACATGGCAAGCGCATTGTTAGCTGCGTTTCCCCATGTAAATCACATTTTTGTTTTATGCCAAAACTTTTGCAAATCAGTAAAAAGAAGGGGGAAGAGCGTGCGGGCGACGTGGCGTATGCGCAGCGACAATAACATTTCCTATTTCCGCCTGGGACAGACAGTCTGCATGTTTGTCTGTCTGTGGGTGCGAGTGCAGCCACACATACACTCACGTTGTCAATGCCAAAGTCAGCACAATGCGCGCCTCGAAATAATTGAATATTATCAAATATGCTGGCAACAGCAACAAGAACAACAACAATAAGTGAACCAGAGTTAAAACTAATATAATTAGCGGGGCGCACGTTTGATTAAAAGTTTTTGCGGCTTGACTGAAGTACCAATCCATAAAACAAAGCTAAACCAAATTAAATAGATTGCTCGCAGTTACAGTAAATATGCCCTAAAGAGACACTCAATTAAATAGTGCTTCATATGTATATGCAAAAGATACAAAAAGTCAAAGGCGAAGAATGAGGGATACGAAATGTTTAGTGCTACGGATAATGTATGATGTAGCATAGAGTGAGTAAGTGAGTAAAATGTTTAGTGTTATGGATAATGTATGATGTAGCATAGAGTGAGTAAGCCGTGAGTGAAGAGCTCTTCGATTTTAATGACTTCTCAATTAGAGGTAATTAATCGAAGTCGTTGCCTAAATAACTTATAATAACTTTATATTATAAGAGAAAAAATCTCTGTATAAGATTAGATATGTGTTCGTTTGTCAGAATTCCAGTAATAAATGTATGCTTTTAGCTTCTTTGACACAACATCAACAGTAATTTCTGCATCAGTTGCTAGGAGCGAAAGCTTCAGTCAGCAACAATGTTGCTATATTTTGTTATCTTATTTTATATATATATATATATATATTTAAAAAAAAAAGTGAATTTATATTTTTGTATACGTACACTCACCAATGGTTAATAATAATTAAACATAAATAATTATAATTGACTATTAGTGATTTAAATACTACAATTATGTTGCTGCTTTATAGGCTGTTCTCTTAGTCTTTTAATCAAGCTTTTCATTAATAAAATGTGAACTGCATTGCATTCATCAAGTAATTTTCATCTGCTGCTAAGCAAGTTCTTTAATTTACACGTGGCATGCCTCAAACACATTGCTTTCTTTTCTTCCATTTCGTTGCATTATTTGTTTGTCCATTGTCTTAGCTTAAAGCTTGAAGTGTTCATTTGTGGAGCTCGGTTGCCGTTTCCACATCAACGACTCGGCCAACAATTTTTTGAGCAAATGGTACAGCAATTTTTACTTATGCCTCAATACTTTTGCCTTGTCCACGAGCTGTGTTCACAAGAGTGGGCGGTGTGAGTTGGTCGGGCGACATGACAAAATGAAAAAGGATACTTGGATACAGGATACTTCATGCCGGACTGTTGGCAGCAGTGGCAACAGCAGCAACAGTAGCAGCAGTAGCGTGGCAGCGTGCATCAAAAAACATGACATGGCACGAGTCATTTCGTTTGTTTTTCTATTCTTACTTCAGCTACTATCTGCCTCTCCCTCTCTCACTCCCCTACTTCTGTCAGGTTTTTTTTGGGCTGCGTCCAAAACATATTTTTTATATTCTTGCAAGCTTTGAGTAAAATATTATGTTACAAGAAAAACAAAACTTTTGTGTTGCATTTACAGCTGCGGGCGTTAAGGAAAATTCCAAAAAAAAAACCAAAAAAAAATCGAGAAAAAATGTTCAAAAATTGTAAACTTAGTTAAATGCATTGGCAAAGTGTTGTGCTTATGCATATTCAAAATGCTTTGGGGCCCGCTGCGAGCCGCACACAAGCAATTCATTAAGCGCAATAGAAAATGGAAAATTTTACAGGACAAGCAGTCAGGCAGGCAGTGGGCACGGAGGACGGGGTCAGCGCTTCGGACAGTTTACGAGCCGCAGACGCAGACAAAAACGGTCCAAAATGTCGATGGGTTGCATATTTACTACTTAGAAATGTTCCATTTTATTGGTCTCGAAATGAACAAATGGAGCACATCACACAAACACACAGAAACACACACACATATTATATATACATGCATATGTGTACTGTATGCTGTTGACTCCAAAAAATTTTGCATAATTTATGAGCGCAGCGCAAACGGCGGCAACACACGAAAGGACCTCAGCCATACACATCTACTCTCTCACACACCCTCTCTCTCTTTCTCTGTCTTTCTGTTTCTCTCCCTCGCCAACTGATTTAAATGCAATTGCATTGAAGTATGTTGTCAGTTGAAGGCTGCCATGTGGATGCGGCTCACGTGCTGCACAACAGGGAAATTGTTGCATATAGAAAAAATAACAAAAAAATGAAAAGAGAAAAGCAGAAAAATAAATATAAAGAAAAGCTGCTGTTGCAGTCGCTGCTGCTGCTGCTGCTGCCACAGTTGCAGTTGCCCATTTCGGCCATACAATACCTATCGACGTCTTCGGCAATTTCTTTTCATTTGCCAAGGTGTTGAGACGTATGTGCTACGTGGGCAGGTCAAGCAGCTGCCCCTACTCTACCCCCCTCGCTTCTACACAAGTGTCGTCTACGATTTGCCATCGAGCAGACCATTTTTGTCTGCCTGCCTGCCTGGCTGCCTTTGTCGACAAACAACCGACAAATTTAGTGTCTTTTGTGCATTTTTAAAATTGAACAAATTTATGTGACACGCTGCGCCAATTGATCAAATTAAATAAACATGAGAACTGGCAAAACGTATCTGCATTCTATCGAGAATTGAGAACTGAGTAGAGAGCGCTGAGCAGTTGAGAATTGAGAGCTAAGAACTGCAATGCCTTAACGTCACAAAACTAACGAAATGTCAACAAACTGAATGTAAATTTTACATTAACTTTTAAGACTTTTAACATTTTTTATAGTCTAACACTATTTATTATCACTATTTATTTTATTTATTTGACTTTTGAGATTTAATAATTTTTTATTTTTCTTTGCTTTCTCTATTAATTTACTGAAATTTACTAAAATATTTTGCTATTTCATTCAATCATTCTATACATTTCCGCTTTCTTCTGGTCTTATTTCCTTATTATTATTTCCTTTTTTAATGCTTTTAATATCTTTAAAACATTTTTAATTTGGTATATTTTATTTTTCCTCCTCCTTTCTCTCTTTCTGCAATATTCAACGTTTACAACTATTTAAAGTACTTTGGAATTAATGTGTTTTCGTTTCAATTAGGAATACTTAAGCAGGTCGGCAATCAATTTGTGCCGCAATGGCTGGCTAATTTGTGATAATTAACTAAATGCCAAGCAGCACGTGCCGCCAAGTTCATCCAAATCCCATAAAGCAATCACATGCACTTGCACAACTATTAAAACTCCCAAGCCAACAGAGAGCTCCGAACTGCGAACTGAATTCCCGTATATATATTTTTTTCGCCTGAATTCTTATGCCTGTGTTTTTTTCTTCTTCTTTTTTATTTGGGCTCCTGTCAGGACCATTACGACTTGCTACATTTCCTTTTGCGACTTCTTTTGGACCCGCCCTTCCCCCGCTTTTCCCGCTTGTCGCCTTTTCTGGCAATTTTCCATATGCAACACGCAACAGACGTTTTTATGTTTTCTGTGTGCGGCGTCGCACACATAAAAAATAAACGAGCCAAAAAGACCAAAAAGGAGCTAAACGAACGACAAGCCCAGCTTGGAGTAGAAAATAATAATAAAAAAGGACGAGTCAAAAGAGTGGAAGTCAATTATCGAATTAATTTAGTTGCTACTGACCTGGCCAAAATGGGTAGCCATCATAAATGTAAATGGGCTTAGAGCAATGTCAGCCCCAAATGGAATTCAAATTGTTTTAATTTTTTCATTTTTGGCTTTGCGAAAGGCAGGCAGCCTGATTGCACAATTTGCAATTAATTAAATTATTGCGCAAATGACATTTTTGCCGGCTGACGCGCCACTCATGCAACAGTCTGTGCTTTTTCACACACACATACATACACATTCACGCATACATGCATACAGCAATTTAATAAACACGATATCCTGCACGGTGCCTGCAACAGCGGACCGTGCCTGGTCATGTAATTGATGCGTTAATCCGCATATTGACAGCGGTTATTGCGGTGGCTTTGCCTGCAAATATGCCCAGTGTTCCCATGGGAAGAAGGGCCACAGATAATACCCTTTCTCCCTCTCTCTCTCTTCCGACCCCCTTCGGGACTGCTCACTGATATGGCGCATTTATGGCCTTTTAAAAGGATTTGCACACTGCATTTTGTACTCGCCGTACACGCAAGCTAAGTAATTTAATTACATTGCGGCGATAAAATTTATATCAATATATGGCTTATACCATGCTACGTTGGGCAAGTGATTTTATTGGCAATACATTTTGCATGCATGCGGCACGAGATACATTTTTGATATAAGCTTGTAGTTAGTTGAGAATTTATTTAATTATATTTAGTCTAACATTGCCCTATCCCTTTATAGTTAAAGATATGTTGCATTCAATTCATTCAATTCAATTCATCGATTTTTAACATAGCAAAGACAAATAACAGCGAATAAATAGAAATTGAAATATGTAACAAACATACCAACACACATGAATATGTATATATTTATAAGAGAGCACATACCTTGCTGAGACAAACTTCCAATTGCATCTAGCTTCATTTCCCTCCCATTCACTCCCTTTCTCTACAAAACTCTTCTACTGGAAATAGATTGCAGTTGTAATTTCGTTTTTTTTTTCACAAAAAAAGACAAACAGAAAAAATGACAAATAACGCATATTACAACTTGTTATTTACAAATTAAACATATACAAGTTGTACAAAAGTCACTAGATAAATACACAGATCACAAACTAAATGCAGTATTTAATTAATTTAAGCTGGCAAACAGAAGATTTAACACACACAGAGAAATTACATCCGATCAACATGACAAACGCGCACTGACTAGTTTGTCATATTTACTTTGCTTCTGCGCGAAACACTTACTCACACTAATACAACAAACTTCAGTATTGTGTTCTCCTTCGTTTCACGCCAGTTCAATAAGGCGTCTTGCCTGAGCGCTTTCATTTGAGTGCTCAACTCAGATAACGGGATCAGTGGCGTATTAGCTGTGTCCCGCTTCCACTTATGTCAATTGAAATGCATACTCTCTGCTGTATCTGCAGGCTGCAATCGAAGGGAAGCAAGTCAACGGGATCAGTTGGAATGAGCTGTCAACAGTGATGGCATAAACACATTCTAACTCTTTAGCTATGTAAGTGCTCTTTGTCAAGGGTATTGCTCATATTGGTACCTATGTAATAATAACTTAACCTATCTATCCCACGGTACATTATTCTTTTTATATATATATAGTATATATTATTACATTATTCTTCTAAATAAGTTTACCAAACCAAATGCGATTGCCAGTACGATTACATACTTTTAGGCTGCGGGTAAACTAGCTTGCTTATAGCTATATTTTAAGCGTATTTGGTTCCATTTGCATTCAGCATGGGTAAGGCGGTGCCAGAAGATGCGCAACAGTTGAGTGCACAAGTGAAAGACTGTTTGTATGTGTATATATGTGTGTAACTGTACAGTTGCGAGCACTATTTTTCAATTTATTACGCTCACATAACAAAACTTTATTGCTAAGCTTTAGCAGTGACTGCTGTAGCTACAACTCCTTGCCAGTGTTATGTCCCCTTCCAGTTGCCTTTGCCATTTCTATTGCAGTGCCTGCCAACTAACTGTTCAATACTCATGGGGAATTTGCCAATGTGACGTGGCAATGTGTGCGTGCCAAAGGAAAATTAGTCCAAAGACGAACAGGCAACAGCAGCACCGCATGCCACACCACTCGCTGTTGCTGCTGCTGCACCACAGGTGGGTATCAGGTGCTTTGGGCTTTGTTAACGGATTTATGCGGCAATCATAAAACTTGCCAACTAACCAGCAAGAAATGTCGCGCAAACCAAATTGATTTATGTGTGCAACGAGAACAACAAACGCAACAATCGAACGGATATAATATACGCCCACAGCGGCTCACACCTAGTCAACCGCATCTTAGCCAAGTTAACAGGCAGACAAAACTTTTAATTTACCAAATGTATTTTGTCTAACTTGATGATTTCAATACGCACATAAAGAACGCCACAGCCAGCAAGTGCTAAAGAGTCGGAACTGGAAAGCAGTATAAGAGAGGAAGAGAGGAAGAGTGGCTGCTAGCAGGCTGACTGGCTTGTTGGCAGTGTTGGAAAAGTTGCAATTTAATGGCAAGGCAAACGTAAAAACGGCAAAATTATGACCAAAATGAGAATTTAATCGAAATACGTGAGCGGAAAAATGAAAATTTGACTGCAACTGGGGAACGTCTGAGGCAAACGTTGAACGTCGAGCCAAGTTGCAACCGGCATAAAATGCCAAGTGCAAGCTCATGCAATTTTTATCATGGCCACAAAAGCAAACACAGACGCAACACGGCAGCACTCTTCTACCTGCTCACACCTCCTCACCTCATACTCCTCGCCGTCCACCTTTATGCGTTACCTTGACGCTCGCGTGCGCGTTGAGCATCTGAGGCAATTGCACAAATTAATGCCACTGGGCGCTGACTGTTGCTTTCTGCTGCTCGCATTTAGCTATCCAGCTACAGCTTGCATCTTCCATCTTCCCATCTTTTCGCCTTCCCATCTTCCATCTTCCATCTTGCACCATCTTCATCTCACGTTTCCCAGGCAGACAGACAATTCTCAAATGAGTCAACAAGCACTAAAATTGTTTATTTTATTATCCAAGTAACATTTTGAACACAGTAAGTGGTTCCGACTTAGCTAAGGGACAGTGAGGGTAAATACAACCGGATAGAATATAGAATAGGGATTTTAGGGGATTTTAGAAAAGTTTAGCCTAAGATTTTGTTGTATTTTAGAAATGATTTTTTATATTTATTTTTATAAAATTAATAAATAAATTTAATTACAAATAGAGAAAATTTAAGTAAGCAAAAAATACAAATTAAAATTATAAAAAAATTAAAAACGTTAAAAAAAATTACCATTGAAAAAAACTACATTTTATAAATATTTGAAAAGATTTTAGAACTTAAAAATTCAGCAAAAAACGTATAAGAATTTTGAAAAAAAAAATTTATTCAAATTTGTTTTTAAATTTTTTAAAATTAAAAAACATATATGAAGCCTTTTTTAGTTTAAAGGCTAAAGAATCATAAAATACTTAAATATATTTTTTATTAAGTGAAAAATATGCATCATAACTAATTCCAAATCTCATGTATATTTTCCAGTTCTTCAACAACTGCCCAAACGAATTTCTGTTGATCTGGCAACACTGGTCGCTTGCATGACCAACTTTTAAGAGCTTGGCTAAAAAGAGCATAAGCCACGCTATGCGAATTTATGCGAAAAGCAACTCAATTGCTGGCGATCGAGCGTCTGCGTCTGCGAGCCACAAGTCACATCACGTCACGTTCCTGGTATAAAACCAAATGCGGAGCGCTTAATGCAATCAGTCGCCAGCCGCAAGTCGTCAGGTGAAGAGCCCAGCAACAACAAGTGAAAGAAAGCTGCAAAGCAAGTGCTCATAGTGCTGTATAGAGAGAGACCAACCAACCATCCACGCGAGTGCAAAGTGCAAAAGTGTTGCAAGCCGAAAAATGCATCGTGCCCCAAGCCAAATGAAGTTAGCCGGAGGAGCTCAGGTGCTACTGCTGCTGCTGCTGCTATTCGTTGCCAGCTGCCAGTCGCGGCCCATGGATCTGTACGATGATGTTAGCGATTTCTTTGACGCCATCTCCTTGGACGACGTGGCCAACACGGGCCGCAACACGCATCCGGAGCAGTTCTGTATGATGCCCGCCCGCAAGGGCGTGTGCCGCGCCCTGATACCGCGCTGGCGCTACGATCCGGAGCAGAAGAAGTGTGTGGAATTCAAATTCGGTGGCTGCGATGGCAACGAGAACAATTTCCCCAGCTACAAGACCTGCATGGCCACCTGCGAGGGCATGTAGCTGGTGGAGCTGGAGCAGCAAGTGAAGGAGAACAGCTGATCGGCATTTTCGTTTCCGGTCGGCAGGCGTTGCCAAAGGCGCGTGCCTTTGCTTTTCGTCCTCGAATCAAAGGCAGCATTTATTTTAACACACACACACTCGCATACACCTCTACACACACATTCCCATTAAGCAACTTGCTTTAAACATTTCTCTTTTATATTTATACAGTTTCTTTTATTATTATTATTTTTTTCTATATATGTTATCCTAAGTCAATTCATGCATCATTCCGAAATTTGTATTTTAAGACAGAATTAATTGTAACAAATGCAGGTGTGCAACACTTTGCTCTAGCTCTTAAGTTATTGTGATAAATATTCATGATGAAATAAAGAATAAAACAAAATCTAAGATTTCGATCTGTTATAAAAAAAGCATTTAACTGTTATATTTACTAGCTATGAACTGTATTGCCTCTGATGATGGAATATAAAGTGTTATAATGTGTTATACACTCCATTCATTTGTTATACTTGATATCTTTGATCTTTATTATTGCATTAGGCGTATATTGATCTGTTATATATTCATTGATGACTTTTCAACTCTTCAAATGTGTTATACAAATCTAACTTCTGTTATACTAGTTATCTTTGATATGTTTTAACTTATTATGGGCATATAATAATTAAATATGCATTCATTGATAGCATTTCAACTCTTCAAATGTGTTATACATTTCATTCATCTGTTATACTTGCAATATTTCATCTGTGTTAATGTGTTATATGTATATATATATAATTATTCATTTAATCTCGTCTAATACAAATTATTGCTCAGTTATATATGCTGTCTATGGTCTCAACTGATGTGTTATATGTTTGATGAACTGTTATACACCTTTGGATTTTATGTATGCTCTTCAAATGTGTTATATGTACGTTCTGTTATACGTACAATTACTGTTATACTTCGTTTTCTCAATTAGTCTATATTAAAACTAACTGTTATATTTTTATTGATGTCATATTCCATTTTCTAATTTTATATTTGTAAGCTATTCTTATTTCCATTCTGTTGGTATTTTGTTGAACTCTCTTGATGTGTTATACAAGAGATCTGTTATATTTGACTTGTTGAAATACAATATATATTTGTAGGAACACAAGTAATAAGCCAAGAAATATCTTCAAGAATATTTCCTCATTTTCATTAATTGCAGACTTTTCTAGCAACAGAAGTTTCTGGCAAAAAAAGCTGAATGCAGGCAAAGTATAGGCAGTCGAGGTTAAGTAAATGGCTTAAAGTAGAAAAATTTTTAGTTCTCTTTTTAGACATTAAGAACTTGAATTCCTCCAAGACTTATTTGCATAAGTATTTTACAATAAATTCTATTTAAAATATCTCATGCGAATGAGTTCAGAGAAGCTCGTTTATAAGTCGAAGATAATTAACAAAGGCAACTGCCAAACAATTGTTATTGATTCATTTCTAACTTGGCCTAAGGCTATATACATATATATATATATATTTAACTATTTATATATATTCAAACAGACACCAATCGCATTGCAACTTTCATAGATTTCACTTGGAAATGGCCCAACTCAGCTGGCTTCGGGTTATTTCTCATAACGCGGCCCATTCATGCGAATATTGCTGAACCAAAAAGAAAAAAAGCGGAGATAAATAAACAACAATGAGATGTGAGCAGATATGACATGTGGAAGATTAGATACCCTAGTAGATAAAGGGGTTGGAAATACCTCAAAATTGTTTCTATAGAAGTTTTACGTTTGATTTAGACGATCCTCAACTGGAGTTAGATAGCAAAAACAGCAAGAAAACTGCATAAAAACTCTCTTTTTATATTATATAACAAGCAGATATAGACAAGATTTGGATATATACAGACAGGAAATTTGATAAAGGTCATAAATATCAAGTTTGGTTCAGAAATCTTCGCAAACAAACAAGTTTCTTAGGCAAAACTTAGCTTAAGATAAAAGATTTCAACAACAATTGTAGCTATAAAATATATATACATATGATATAGTGATCGAATCTGTAAGACAGCAGTCTAGGGTACCACTTTTAATATCAAGCAAAAGCAATGCAAAGTTTCATGACAAAAGTTTTTTATAATTCAGTTTGTATAGAAACAGATGGAAAGACTGATAGGCGGACTTGACTTGCCTATGAAGACAGATCACTAATATAAACATATATGTATACAATCTAAGGTCAATGACGTCATCTTCATATGCATTCCACGATTCGCGAACAAATTAACAAACTCCAAACAAGAGTATATAACAAACATACAATGAGCGTAAACAAACCAGATCAATATATGCAAAGGTCATGCTAATGATGATGACAATGATAATGGTGATGATGATGATGATGATGATGATGAACCACGTCAATGGATGCCTAGTTGGGTCTAGGCAAACCACTACGTACAAACGGCAGACATTGGAGAGATCACAGTTGTGTGATAGCCAACGCCAAGCCGGGCCGTGGGCAAGTGAACAAGCAATAAACAATTGAAAGGTGCGAATTTATGTTAAATCGATTGCCAATAAACATAATTTATCCATGTCAACGGAGTCGCAGTCTTTGAAGCGAAACCGAAAGCGAGGGCCACAACGAGAGCGGCCTGGCTGCGGGCCTTTCTACGAATACATTAATATATATATATATATTGATGTACATATTAATATTTATGTACATATTGATAGGTATAGTTTGTTACAACTGCTGGATCATTGACCTATTGATGACAGCTGTAGAGCTAGTAACGGCTAAAAACAAGTTGCTGCTAACTCAGGATAAGAAGCCAAGCTATAAAAGCTATATTTAGCTAGCAAACTAAAATATCCCAAATAATAGCTAACACTTAAAAGTTAAGTCAATTTCAATAAATAAAATTGACAATATTTTTCAATCAAATTAGGCATCTTTTTAGCTGCGCTAGCTAGACAAAACGTGTTTTCGAAAAATCTAGCAAATTCTACGGCGCGCTAGTTTAAAATCGCACTCCAGAGATAAACAATACCAGCTAAGATCATCGCATAATGCGCTGTTTTTAGAGTGCTGCCAATTTGATATGCTAGGCAAGCTGTAAATGAGTGTAGAGGAGAGGTGTTAAAGTTCCCACTAAGTAACGCATAAAAAACCCGGCTGCTGAGTATGCTATATGAAATCCCCCCTAATATATAAAAAGGCCAAAAATGACGTAAATAGCGTACTTGGGCAGCGCTGACTAAGACAGAGAGCTGGCAAATAGGCAAATGACAACTCTATATGCAGAGCGCGTAACTAATTCCTAAGGGAAATATAAGTATAGTAAATGTCCTTCATTAACCAAATGTATATGTAAATCGCACACTCTTCTCTATTCTTATACGCGAAACTAATTTTCCCACTATTATGCTTTAGATAAAAAAGCCTAAGCTGGTTAATCGAAATGCGAGCAGATGCAATTACATTATGCTACACACACAGACGCACACACACAGCGTTGTAGCTATTATGCTCTTATTTTCATATTCGTTTTGCCAATATTTATGTCATAATATTGTTGTTGGTTTTATTAATTCACAATGCTGCGGACTTTGCACAATAATTTGTAATTTAGTGCCGCCAAAAAGCAAGCAGGAAAGAGCGACGGAAAGGGGCGGAGCGCGGCATGGCAAGGGGGCATGGCTCAGGTGGAGTAAGGCATATTTGGCGTGCTCACGTTTTATGTCCAGTTTACTTCAGTCCAGTCGAGCCAGCTCGAATTCAATCAAACTCAGCTCCGACCAAATAAACGTTATTTATTTTGTTTTCATTTTGTTGTTCGTTGATTTTTGCTGTTGTCGCTGGCCTTTTTGTTGCGCGTGCGCAACGATTTTGGCTTTTCGCAATTTTTGGGTTGCGAACTTAACTAAGTTTCTAGAAAATTCTGATGAGGCAAGAATTGCCCGTTAAATTGGCTCAAACTAAGCAAATAAATAAAAAGCGCGCGCAGTGCGAATGCGGGTGAAGTCAATAAACTGTTTTAACCTGCATAAAAGCCAACTAACAAACAACTAACAACAATTGCAGCACGCTAGGAAATTTGAAAAATGTAGCAAAAAATTAATTAAAATGCACTAAGCGCGCCGCCAGCCTATGAAAATGCACAATAACAAATTTTCCGCCTTGCATGAATGGCAAATAAATAGTGCTTAATGTTTTTCTTTTTCTTTTTCTTTTTTATGCTTTTGCTGTTGAAATTTATTTATTGAAGGCACGTAGCGCATACGCAAAAAAAAATTGCAAAAATAAATTAAAATAAACAAATAACAAAAGTCAACGGAACGCAATGCGCCCCGCCTCCAATGCGGGTTTGTGTCCAGGTTAAAGCGAAGAAAAGTCAACGAACTTTATGCGCAGCCAGCAAAAGTCCCTTATTAAAAAATACCCTTGTTTGAGGCACTGCTAACTGCGACAATTGCTGTTGAGCAAGGTAATTGTGAGAGGGGAAATATTTGTGCCACGCTTTCAATGAGTTACATTTTTGCTTGCAATTATTGCAGCTGAGCTAATTTTTGCTTTACATTGTTTAATAAATATTATTAAGCTCAACTTCTTTAGCAACTTAATAGAGTATTTAAGCAGCTGTAAAAATTAAGTGCAGCAGCGTTGCTTTATAAAGTAGTTATATTGAAAGAAAAAAGTACATGACAATAAGCATGACGAATGCATTGCTATTGTCGTTGTTGTTCCAGCTGGTAATGCAAATATGCATGATGAGGTGTAAATGGATATAGACATTATTGGAAGCAATTTCCTGTATGCTTAAGTGGCCCATAAGTACATAAATAGATAAGCTTACAATGTACTTTTTCTGTGATAAAAATAAAAAATCCCGGATGGGACATATTTTGAAACGTCGTGGAATTATCATTGAGATAAGAAAAGACCGTTTCTGTTGGCGTTATTACTGACTTTTCTTTAAGACTCGTACAATTTATCAATTTTAGCAAGTTTTTAATTTATCGTTCTTTACCAATTGCTAAATACAGTAATATAATTATTATAACTAACATACACAATGTAAATATATATATTTATATATACCTATATATATATATATATATATATATATATATATATATATATATATGTGTGTGTGTGTATATATATTTAGATATATTTGTTTTATTTATCGGTTTGTTATCTTTGATTATTAGTAGAATCGATTGATAGGCGTTCGGAGCTTAACTTTTCAACTATGATTCTTAGCAGTAGCAAAAAATATGTTTTATATTCATACGTTCCCATCTTAATCAACTTTCAATTTGTTTTACTCTGCAGCCTAGTTCTAGAATTTAACATTAGGTTCTTGGTTTATTAGTGTTTAGTTTAACGTCAACGTTTCGTTATAATTTGTTTGGCTTCAATTCTAAATGGATCAGGCGAATATAGTCCATTTTCCATATAAATATTAATATATATATATCTGGTAGTAGGATCAAAAGTCTAAGGAAGCAAAGAATTTGTGCTTGAGCTAAGCAAATTAAAGCGAAACACTGCATATATTGTAGGGTAGATGAAAGTGTGCGGGGCAGAGGAGAGGGTGTGGCTAATATTAGCAGGCTACATCCGTGGTAACACTCTTGATGCTCTCGGAGCTAAAGTGAACGCAGCCGTATTTGCAGACCAACGTCCAGACATATGGAATGAAGAACTCCTCTGGCGCATCCTCCTCAACATATTTGAATTTAAGATCCGGGAATTTCTAAAGATAAATATACATATATGTAGTATAGAACAGAGTATAGATTGGATAGCACCTACTCTCAGACGGTCGCTGGACCATTGGCTAGCGCCTTTGGATATGACCTCAAGAACCTCACTGACGCCCAGCTCGCCGCGCTGTTCCTGCACGCGCTGTAGCCGTGATGAAAAGAAGCCAACGACCTGGAAAGCAAAAGCATAATTAATGTACAATATAATTGGCATACAAGCTAATATAACAATGCAGCATACCATATCGATATTCTGTATAACATCCTGGAACGCATGATGACTGCGGAAGCCCTCAAAGACGCTGCGCTTGTAGAGCAGCGTGTAAACCAAATTGGGACAATAGACCAGTTGATTTGTAAGGCAGGAGTTTAAGATTTCCAGTACCATGCGCAACACCTCCTCCAGCACGCTCAAATCCTGCATCATATCCTCAGGCGTTGTCGAAACATTTACAAAGACTGCACTGTCCGCTGGCTCTTTGAGCTGGGCATCCAAGCGCGTATGCTTGCGGGCGAGCGTTTCGAAAAGGGAAACCAAACGCTGTGCCACATACGGATGCAGAGCACGAAAATGTCCAGACATGTTGGCCAGAGCAGCCAGGCAATTGGTGTGCAAATACTTGTCACGCATCTTCAGCATATTGTATTGGATGGTGCGTATGACGATCAGGATGAGAATGCCGCCCAACGATATCTCAGATATCGTGCGCTCCGTATACCAGCTGATGTTCTTAAGAAGCTGCAAAGCAAAAAGGGCATTAGCTCGCGCAGTATACGAGATGTCAGTCACTTACAATCGTGTGCACATTCTTATTGAAGCCCTCGTCCTCGCTGAGTATGAGCAGAACGATGAGCGACATGTAGATGTGATGTGAATTGCTGTCGGGCGCATTGTACAGTGTTTGCAGTATGGGTATAACCAATAGCTCCAGATCCTGCTGCTGCATGACGAACCGATAGAAGCGTTCGTTGCGATGCAGCAGCAAATACAGCAGCAGTGTCGCCTGATCAATGGTCACAATGCGGCACAGGGTTTCGTAGACAGCCGAGAAGTCAATCTGAAAGGAGACGGTTCCCTGTTTGGGTGAATCCTTTGAATCCGCACAGCCAAAGAGACTCGTGCGATAGGCATTATCCTGCGCTGTGCAGTGATTCGTCAATATCAATATGAGCAACAGACTTTGATTAGCCAATGGATAATGCGTGCGAAATTGCTGGGACAACTCCTCGCCGGTGGCGTTGCTCGTCTTGAGGATATCCTGTTGCTTACGAAAAGTGAAGATGGAGAGCAGTGATTCAGCGATGCCAAAGACAAATGAACCCGCCGACGTCGAGCCAAACATGGTGTGCGGCACCTCAACCATACGTGCCACAAAATGCAGCAGCGCCGACATCAGGACATTCGCATGCTGGCACTTGTAAATGGTGCGAAAGACAATGGATTTATCTGTGGGCTGAGCGAACAGATGCACGGCGAGCAACGTTATCAACGTATTGACCGACTCCAGGTGCAAATGATAAGTGAACTCCTTGACGGGTATAACAACAATTAGATTGACCAGCGCATCGATAAACGTCTCGAACTTCGCACCATCCACGATCAGCGCTGCAAGCGTCGCCTGTTCCGTTGCCTCGATGGCAATGCTAGCCATTTGCTGCTGCTGCTGTTGTTGTTGCTCCTCGGCTGCCTTAACTAAATCAGCACTGGGCAACGCCTCGAAGTGCTGCAACAGCTGAAACTCCGACCCCGTCTCATTGATATACTTGATCAGTGTGCGTATGATGAAGAGCGCATTGAACGTTTGCCATACGTGCATGTTGCTCTCCTGGTCGGAGAGCGAGAGCAGCTCGGTGGCCTTCTCCAAAAAGACAGTTATCAGCGAGCCGAAGTTGCCCGTCTTCAAATTATTGCCTATAAACGATTGACATAACGTCTCCAGACGCGAATCCAGGCTCAGTTGATCCTGGCTGCAGGGTAAACATTGAACGTTACAAGGTTGAGTTGCTGACGTGTTTATCCACTTACCTGTTCTCAGGTATTACGATATTATAATTGAGCAGTCCGTTCCAGAAGGCTTCATCGTCGTGTGCTATATGCTGTCGACCCACAAATCGCTGGAGCCATTCATTTGAGGCCAAGTCGGCATTTCTGCTGACGTTTATGCCCATCTTTTTGGGTGTTGCTCTAACTACTGCGCTGCCGTTGATTCTATGCGGAGTGCTACTGCTGCTGCTCTCCTGTTAGCTCGTTAGTGTTTAGCACATTGGTTGCCACAAGCCCGGGCTATGAGCCTTTTTTTTCCGTTTACAAATAACAACAATTCTTCGTGTTGGCACTGAGGCACGTCACCCATTCATTTGTATGTGTTTTTTTTCTCATATGTTTTTGATGTGCTAGAAATCGCGTGCTTTACAGCACTGCCCGTAGCAAGTGTTGGCTGGTTCCGAAACAACTCTAACGAACGAAATGTATTGAATTAAAAAACAAACTGTTTTTCCTATTAATTTAGAGATAAAGTGCAAATATTTTTTTAACTAATATATTATATTTTTATTATATGATGGCAGCAAATATAACTGTTGAACTCTAACTCACTATAAAATAAACTGAACTAGTTGCACACGGAGCACACGGAATTGCCAATTGACGTTATACAACACTCTTTCCCTTTGCGTGACGTAAATTTTGCTCAGTTTGAGACTATTTTCAAAATATTTGAAAACTTTTCGTTTTGTTTACAGATGTTTTGCGCCGTTCAATATTGTGCAAATGAAAAGAGAAAACTCCGTTCGTTTTCGTTTCCAAAAGATGCAAAACTATGTGAGAAGTGGATACAGTTTTGTCAGCGACCGAGTAAAATAAATTCGAAACTGGAAAAGATTTGTGTGGACCACTTTTTGAGCGAAGACTTCGAAAGAGATTTACCCTACGAGCTGGGCGTATACAGTAAGCCACGCCCACTTAAACTAAAGTCTAATGCAGTGCCAAGTGTTCAAAACAAGACTGATGTGTATTTTGGAAGTGCATATGAGCAGCAGAAGCCGAAGCCGGTGCGAACGAAGACGTGGAAAACGAAGAATGTGGCGCAGCGTAAACAAATTGTTGATGCGCTCCTAGAGGAATATAATGAGCAGATGGCAGATCAAGGCGCTCAGCTAGAGATGCATCTAGGTGCGCCTACGAATGAGGACGACGATGTGGCAGAGCTACCCGCTGAGGAAGTAGTCCAAGTAGTGATCGATGCCGATGCGTATCTCACAGCTCTGGAAAAGGAAAAGTCTGTAACTGCTGTATGGTAAAGAAAAATCTACCGATACTAATTAACATTTCTTGCAGCACGGAATTGCGGCGCGAGAACTTCAAAATGAAGCTTGCAATTGAGAAGCTGCAAAGGCAGCTGACCATGTGCAATGGACGCTACAGTGAACTGTTCGACAATCTAAGCAGAATCTTCTCGAAGGCACAGCTGCAAAAGCTGCAAAGTGGAAAACGTGTTGTGTGGCAGCAGAGGGATCTGCGCGACTCCTGTGCGCTGTATGCCACCAGTCCAAGTGCCTACAATATGCTGCTCAAGAAGGGTTACCCACTGCCCTCTAAAAGAACGCTTCAACATTGGGAGGCCACAAAGCGCTTCCAGGAAGCTGATGATGATATAGAGAGCTGCAGCAATCAGCTTCAAATTGAGGCGGAGCACGAAGAGGCGCAACAGGTGGAGCTTGACCAGCAAACCTACAACCTAATAGAAGCTATAGATATAACACAAGTAGATCCTAATTATATTAACTAAAAGTTCAAACTGTGTTAACAATATCGAAGAGCTTTAATTATATAGCACATAGGCTATTGAATCAATATAGAATAGGTTTAATATAAGCTATGTTTATTATATGATGAGAATTGCAATAAATTGCCAATGATTATGATTATATAATATACATATATCAGTATATATATTTAGGAATATGATAGACATTAAGATTACTAATAATTATTAGGGAACTGTTTATTATAATGGTAGCTTAACTACGATAGTGATATATAGAACATAGAATATAGAATGCAAATGCTGTTAATTCAAAGTGCGAAACACCTGACAATATGTAAATGCGAATTGTTGTTTAAGATAATGCAATATAGAATATAATATAACGAATATAAGCTTAGCTAAATTGATAAGCAAATTTGATAATGGTGAGAGACAATTCGTGGACTTTGTTATATAGCATGGGAAGAATATGAGCTTAGCTATATTTTTATGGCAATGTTGATAAACAAAATATGAAAATTATAGTTGATAATCTTTTAGGACAATTTGTTGCCTTTGATAATGTTTGTTTATATTATATAACATTTAAGAAATAATAAGAACGTTTAATTTTCGATAATAATGCATTTATTTGAAATATTAAATTGAACTAAAGCTAAAATAATTGTTATATACTGCGCCGCACCTATGCAGCCCATTTAATTTGGCAATTGACTATCCCGCTGTATCAATTGTTGTTACTTTTGTTTCTGTTATCTTTTCACTTAGTCGTTTACAATTTAGATGATGCATAACTAAAAGATATATGTATATACATATATAGATTTATATTGCGACTTGTTAACACATACGTTTATACAGACTATAGGTATAAAAAAAAAACAACAACTAAAGAGACAACCGATGAGGCGAGGTTAACTATTGCATTGCAACACTCACAAACATCAACATAATGATCATCAGGATCATCATTAATAGTAGACAATTAACTATCACAAATTTTTATTCAACTTTTGTCTCTCAGTGAATGTGGCTATGTATGTTTCCATCTGTCTGCCTGTGTATATGTGTGCGAACAAGAAAATATATACATATTCTTTTCGTTGCATTTCAAAATATATCGAATGTATATATATATATATGAATATATATATATATATATGTGTGTAACATTGTTAACTAAACACTCGAGCTATTTAGCCATGTCGCTGCGTAAATATATGTGTGTGTGTGTGTGGTGGGTGGATGGATGAATGTGTTTATGACGTATGACTTAAACTTAAGAAATATACACTATGGATAAGTATGTGAACTTAGTATGGTTTCAGATGGTTTGCTGTACAACATGGCCGATGAATCTCAAATTAACGCTCGCTTGCAACTTGATGTTTTGTCTTTGGCTTAAAGTTTGCGCAAAGTATTTGACTTGTTGTGCTTCTTGGCCAACAACTGCTTCAAGCTGAACGACGACAGCGCAATACCAAACAGGGCTAACATCGTGGCAGATCGGGTCACCACACGATTGGGCGCCGACGAGCTGGTGGTGAATGCATGGCTGCTGTGCGTCGAGGCTTGCGCGGAGAGCGGCGCTGCCTGAAAGATTAGATAAAACGAAATCACAAATTAGAGGAAATCCAAGTTAAAACAGGTACGATAAACAGGTATCTAGCCATTCTTATCACACAATTTTTTTTTGTTATTTTTAGATGTTAAACGTTAGCCAAATTGGCCAATTGCCCAAAAAGAATTTCGGTGCCGATTTCTACTGCGCAGCGTTTTTTGCTTTTCTTATTTCAATTGCAGTTGGCAACAAAAGGGGCGTTTGTCTGGGTGGGCGTGGGGCCAGACAAGTTCAACTGCCCCAAAAAAAATCCATGGCTAAGCGAATTCCCACGTTCATTGAACTGATTAACAAATTTGTAGCGTAATCTGAATGTTGTTGAACTTGTAACACCTGTCCGACTATCTACATGTACAGTTATCTGTATAGTATTTATATATGTAATATATAACAGCCCCCAGCAACGCCTCTATTGTAATTGTCGTTGTTATTGTTGTTATTATAGCAATTAGTTAGGCGTTTGCATTCTCAATGTTACTTTCAAAGACGCAAAAAGCTTGAGACTCGTGTCAGGTGACGTCAGCAGACAGCACAGTGGCCAAAGGTTGGGCGAGTAGGAGTTCAACTTGAAATTATTTTAGACATGGGTAGCCAAAGAGATAACAGTTTTTTGGACGAATGCAAGAAAGGCAAAGGGCCATTAAATTAAATTTGTATATATTTTTAAAAAATATTTTTTATATTTTAAAATATTTTTTAATAATATTTTATCTCACTTTTTTGCATACTATTATTTAATTTATATTTTTATTATTATTTTATGATTTTTATATGCCCAAACCTTTTCTTTAAATTTTACGGTTTCAAGGGCTTTTGCACCACTGTTATAATCTGACACTGTTTATTTTAGTGAGATGCACTTCGCATCGACTTGCATTTCATCTTGTGACGCACTTGGTCTGACCCGCTTTCCTCCTTTTGTGTTTATTTCTTAATCCGCAATTTCTCGCGGCGCTATCGCCCGATTTGGCGACCATTGCTCAAACATGCGGCGGACGCGTGCCGAGCATAAATAAAACGGCGACCGTCAAAAATCTCGAATGCTTATAAATATACGGGAATTGTTTGCACACACACATACACTCACATATTCTTGCAAATTTTTCATCGCGATTTATTTCGAAACGGAGCAAGAATTCCATATTTTGTTTTGCTTTGTTTTTTGTTCATTGGCTTTGCTTAGCATTTGCATAGAACTTTGCTTCCTGCTCCAGTTCCGGTTCCGATTCACTTTCAGCTCTGCTCTCCTTCTGCCTGCTGATACGTTCCAGTGTCTTCTTGATATCTTGTGTGCTGGGTCGGGCAGTTCCTGCACTGTTTGAACTTTCCCGACGCGCACATTGCCTGCTACGTCTGGGGCGCGAACTTTGCACTGGTTGACGATTTAATGAATTCAGGAACTGGCTGGCTGTTGAACTTGTAGGCGGTGCTGGTGGCTGTGGTTTCTGCTGCAACTGCGAGCGCACCATTGTGGATGCCTTTTTAGGCGGCGTCTGAAAGGGATTCGCTTTGGGCAGGTCCTTTTTAGCTGGGCTCTTTGGAGTGAGCTCTGGTTGCGGAATGGAAATTGTATAGGCAATGTCGCCAGCCTTGCATTGCGCGATCACAGATTTGAGATTAGACACAGCTACTGCTGGTTGCTCAGATTCGCTCAGCAAATGGGGCATAGACAATGTTGTAGTAGTTATTGTTGCTGCAACTGTTGTTGCAGATATAGGAGATGAGCGATTATCGCATTGTTCGAGATCGTTTGTCTGTTTAGCCGGTGTGAGAGAGAGTGCACTCTTTGGACTGCTGAGCAACTGCTGCGCGTTCTCCCAATTTGAAGAGAGAATATCCTCAATACTGCAAGCATCGGAGCTCGATGGGATATTTGGCGGTAAGCTAGAATCACAACTGGAATTATTTTCCCTGTTTTCCATTGAAGATTCGTTGGTTGTGCCTGATGCCAGCTGCTCAAGCAGTTGTTTTATAAATTCGTCGTCATCCGCATTCGTCGAATGTGTCGGCGGCTCGATGTCCTCCTCATCGGAGGAGGATACGGCGTCATTGTGTGGCCAAAGACAGCGACGCGATTCACACTTGAGCAGCTGCTCCTCACGATTTAAGTAAAAATAGCGCAGCTTGTGATTTAAGCCTTTACTGGAGCATTCCACACATACATCACCCGGTTGCAGGCTTTCCATTGTGCGTGTGCGTGTATGTGTGTATGGGACTTTAACGAACGTGTTTGGGAAATTTCACTTGTGCGTAATTTCCCCAGATTTCCCCAATTGCATATGTAAATTTTTTTGCATTTGCCAATACTTTGCGTTTTTATTTAATTCGCTATTTTGCGTTTGCTCACCTGTCCGAAAGTTAAACGAAATGCATATAATCCGATACTAGTTGTTTTCATGGTCCGTAAAAGCAATTATTATCTGCAACATATATAAATTTCAGTTTTGAGCACAAGCCTGCTTACATAATACGAAATTGATTTTTTCATTTTTTTATTTCCCTGTTTCATTGTATTGGAAAATGTCAGTGTGAGAGTTGTCGACACTTGCTTATTGCTTACATTATATGTGTGAGTAAAGTGAATGCGCGTTGCTCTATATGGACGTCTCCTCTATTATGCAGTTCTGAGCGTTCTGCGTTGCGTTTATTTAAATGTATTAATAAATAAAAAGCAAACAAAATTCTCTAGCGGGCACGCCACACCATCTGACAGGGCTGCTACTGAAAAGAACTAGGGCTGGGCTCGTACACATGTGTGATAAAAGCTGAAGCACGAGTTAGCACGAGTCAACTTTACAGTGCCCGAAGTGCATCTGTTTTCCTCATACACTGCAACAAAAATTATGTTTCTAAAATTATTTTAAATATGAATTATTTATGTGTAAGTAATTAAAATGTCTTGCAAAATATATGTATTCGTGATAATATCATTTAACAATCGCTAGCATGAACCTGATATATTTCAGCACGCATTATCATTACGAGATCAGGTAACCCGGCCACTTTGTTTACATTTTGTATTGTATCTTCATGCGATATGGCAAGGCTTTTTTTTTTCATTTCAATTGTATAAATTCGTCAGATTAGTAGTCTTCGCAAGTATTAAGTTCAAACTATATAAATTATTTCAAATCGATGTTTTGTACTCAGTATTTAACTTTTTCAGTTGCGATGTAAGCTGCACTTATATCACTTAAAAATTATGATGAAAATTCATTCGCTTTCCAACACTTGTTTCTTACAGTCGGTAACTTGCTGCAAATCAATTTCATAATACGACTGTGTGTTCAGCATTGCATTTTCAACAAATTAAAATCAAGATGGTTCTTTCTGATGGAGCTAAGGAGCGTCTCGGCGTTGTTGTCGATATTATTCAAACCACATTCCACTGGGGATTCGTCCCAATGGTCCTTTATTTAGGTAAATAGTGCTAGACACGTGTGATAAGCGCCAGCAGCGTGCTATCTATTGATTTTGTATTGATAATCCTTATTTGTTTCTTTTTCATGCGTTACAGGATTTTCGAAGGGCGCCGAGCCTGGAATGCCACCTTTGTCGCTTTTAAGCCTTTTGTGGCAATAATTATTTCATAATTCATGTAAATTGAGCAACGACAGCGTTCTTTTGGGTAAATTGACAACATGTTCTCGTTGATTGGTTGGCACTTTCAAAGTTATAGTACCTGTAAGAAACGCTGGCGGAAATAAATTTCTGTTGAACACTTTTAACAAATGATATACACATATATATAGTGTATATTTAAATAAATTTAACCAGACCCATCAGTATTGTTTATTTATTTGTGGTAACACTGGTTGCTCTGCAGATGGCAACGCCGAAAAGGTATATGGTGATTGGTATTTTTTTTTCCTTAAAAACTGTGTTTTTATATTTGCAATAATCGGTCACACTGACCACATCTTTCGCAAAAGCACTCGCACACAGACGAGTTTTCCGCTGATTTCGTTCAACAAAATTGCATATATAACAAATAAATAATACAGTTTAACGCAAACAAAAACCTCCACAATATAATTCGAAGTGCTGGCCATAAGTGTAAATAAGTTGTAATTGAAAAACAAGCGGCTACAGTGCTAAACTCACGTGATGAAAATACGGCTGAAAACTTCAACGTAAAAAGTGGGAGGGGATATATGAATTTTTCTAATTGGATTTGCAAGAAGTGAACGAATTTTGCCCGATAAATCGCGTTTAACTCTGTGTTTTAACCAAATATGCTAAATTTTCCATTTATATATGAAAAAGGTGTTTAACCCTAATAGTGGCAAGTCGTTGAAACGAATGCACAAACAAAATGTAAGCTCGCTGCGGGCGCAAGCAGAGCGCGAGGCCGACTTCGAGTCCCCCCTCCAAAAACGTCCCACGCCCACCGCCCCCTCCGTGTCCTATACAATAAATGCGCAATACAAAGCAAATTAGTTGTCGGCGTTGCCGTATCCTTTGCATAGTTTTGTTTGTGTCGTCAAGGAGTGAAAAATAAGTTTCGCTGCCTCTTTTGCTCCCACACAGACTTTGAGCCGTGTGCTTGTGTGCGTTTATACATATTTGTTTCTGTGAATGTGCGTGTGTGTGTGTGCGCGCGCGGAAAACAAAAGAAAAGCACAAAAGCGAAAACAAAAACAAGCGCATTTATCAAAAAGCAAATACAAAACAAAAATGTGGCCAAAACTGCTGTGCTTATTGGCGCTGCTGAACGCCAGCTATGGTAAGTGCCAGGATATTCTTCCACTCTTACAAGCATACAATTTTTTTACGTTTTCTTATTGGAGTTGCGAAACTAACCTAAATTTATATACTCCCTCTTTCTCTCTCTCTCACTTGCTGTGCAGCTTCGCCTATTGAGATTGTCATAAATACAACAAATGAAGCTGGCGGCAAAGCTGGCCATAAATTGTTACCAGCAGCAGCGACAACAACAACGACGACTGCGAGAACAACAACAAGAAACGAAACAGCTGGCGCTTATCTAACCAAATCGTCGCTGCCTTTTGCTGATAACAACGGCCATGGCAACAACAACAATAACAGCAGCTTTGTGCCCATACAGTTGCACGGAACAGACGCTGCCTTAGCCTCCACCGCCGTCGCTGCTTCCCCTCAGCTGCGTCAGTCAGCGCCCACATTCCCGCCGTTGCAGAACAAGAAACACGAGAGTAAGTCAAATAAGAATCCGCAACGGCCCTCGCGTGACTTCAACACCTCAAAAAGCAGCTCAAGTGAGTTGAAAGCCCGCCAACCGTCCGTCCATCCGTCCGTTCGTCCGTCTGTCTCTGACTTGTCTCGCCTCGTGACGTCAGCTTCGATGTCAATGTGCTGCGCCGCAGACAAAGCGCTCAAGTGCCCCCTCCTCTCTGTCTCTCTCATCCTCTGCCTCCCCCACACGAGCCGACCGACTGCACTGCAGTCACAACACACTCCCACCCCCGCAACTTGAACAGCAAATGCAACTGCAACTGCAGCAGCGGCAGCTAAACAAAACTGGCGCGCAACATCAGCCGAGCGACGCCGGCAGCGACGTCGACTTCGTCTGGGTTCTTTATGCTTTCCGCTTTGCACTTGTCTTCTCGTCGCGGCGCGGCTTTGTCGCTGTTATTGTTGTTTTTTTTTTATGCTAAATGCCTTTTGTTTTTCTTTTCATTTTGTAATCTGAGTGCGCCTACTTCTGCGGCACTTCAGGCCCTGTTTGGCAAGAGCGGCGAGTGGCAAGGGGTGAGCTATGTCTGCGATCGCTAAAGAAAATCAATACGAGACCGAATTATGATTAATGAATCTTTAAACAGACAGCTAACAACGGCTTGCTAATTGGAGACAAAACCACGTTTGCCTCACGGGGCTTAACAGCAAGAGTTGTTGTTGCTTATTGGAATTATATGCTTATAAGGGAAATTAAGGGGAATTTAATTGACCGAGTTTGGGAATAATGCAAGGATCAACGGGCTAGACAGTGAAAGAGAGAGGGAGTGTCTTGGTTAATGGGATTTTATATGTCAGCATTAAATAAAAGGAAATTATATACCAGCTTGTATTAGACCATGCTTACACGGAAACTTAACAGTTAAGTTGGTGAAATGGACATGAGACTTAATTTTTATTCAATTCTGAATTTAGAATTATACAGTTTAATCAATATGAAATTTTCCTTTATTTACAAACTTTCTTCTTTTGCAGAGGCGATCAAATGCCATTGCGATATCTGCAAGGATACGAATCACATCTGCGAAACGGATGGCTATTGTTTTACGTCTGTGGAGAAGGACACCGACAGCAAGATAACTTTCAGTTTTCGGTAAGTCTTTCCTTTGCTGCCATTTTGCTCAAAGACAGCAGCAACAACACAGGAGATATTTTGACTGTGAGTGTTGCATGAATTCGTTGTGTAGCTGCCTCAACATGTCGCAGAGCTTCCCGCCGGGCCGTTTTATTTGGTGCAACGATGGCCAACGAGGCGGGCCAACGGCACGGCCAGCCGCCCGTCGGGGCGGCCATGCGTGTTGCAATGATCGTGACTTTTGCAATCTGAAACTGCGACCGATTATCAAGCTGCAAAGTGCCACACCTGGTGGACGCCAGGAGTCGGCGTCTGTTGGCCCATCGGTTAGCTACGAAGGTGCGCTATGCTGTGTGCACGTGTTTTAACTCCCTACCACCACTTGCCACTTGCCACTTGCCTACGTTTCATATCCTCTCTAACAGCCAAATACAAACAAAAACGCACGTCGTTCCAGTTGCTTTGTTCCAGTTGGTTCGTTCTTTTGAACTAGCTCGTTATTCTACTATATAATGCTCGTGTTGACTTTGACTTGTTAGTGAATCATAACCGAAAACAAAACAAAAACCAATTTAATGCAGCGCACACTACTAAAAATTCCAAACAACAACAATAAACAGCAGCAAGAGCAACAGCAACAGACCCAAAGACTAAGTTAATCAAAGAGCAAATGAACTGAAGCCAAGAACTTAACCATCAACTGCAATTGTGGTTCTTGTGTTGGCTAAATGGGCAAAGGCTTTTTGCTTAATTAAATCCTTCACTTATGAATACACTTTTTTTTTGTTTTTGATTTTGTTTTACTCTTTGCTACTAACCAGACTGATTTTTAATTAGCAACTGGGCTCAAAGACATGAGCAGCAACAAAAGAAAGCAAAAACAAAAACAACAAAAATAGAGTATTACTAATTTGTTTGCTGTCTCTCTCTTTCACCTGCTCGCTCGTGTACAACGAACAAAAAAATTGAAGAGTCAAACCACTTAAAAAAACCAAGAAAAATTAAATCAAAACAAAACACGCCACGCGCGCTTTATTCTCGCTCTCTCTCTCTCTCTTTCTCTTTGTTTTACCACGTTCGATGTGTTCGTTCGCCTGGCGCGCTCTCTCTTTCTCTGTTACTCTTGCTCTTAATATAACACAAAAAAACATACTTACCAAATAACTGTATATTGGTCTACTATTGCTGTACAGTTGCCTCGATAAGCGTTACGAGCTGAATCGCGAGCCGTTGGAATGCCTTTCCAGTCGCCCAAAATACGATTCGTATAGAATTAAGTGTTGTAATATGGATTTCTGCAATAAAGATGAGCTTATGAAAAGGATATTTGAAACAGGTACAGCAAACAGATATAAAAAAAACAACAATAATATAAATAACAAGAAACAAAAGCAAACAAAACACAAAAAACACTATTTTTCTACCTCTCTCTTTCTACTTATGAAAAGCTTTTTGGTTTGCACTTCTTTTGTACTTTGCGTTAATTATGTAATACAACAACAAAAACACTTTTATTTCTGTATGCACTCTAATAAAAAAAATAATAGTTTTTATAATATTCATAATTTAATTACGATTTGCACAACAATTTAGTGGGCGCCTTATAATTGATTATAAATAGGTTTTTCAGTTTTTTTTTTTAAGTAAATATTTAAATTTTCTATTTGCACTTTGTTCGCTTTTTGGTCGTCCTCAGATTTGTAGTTTTTTTTTCTTTGCACGGCTTTTCTATCTTTATCTCTCTCTTTCTTTGACTATCTTAATGGCACATCAAACACTACAACAACAACTACACCTATCTATATGTAAACCAAATAAAAAAAGAGATTTAGTTTTTCAATCAACTTTTGCATGCTAAATAATTTCGCATACTTTTCGATTGTAGATGCTTTTAAGAAGAAACAGTTATTCTAGTGCGTAGAGTTTATTTTCGTACATAAGGTGGATTATCAGTGTTGCTCATCAGATTGAATTGGCAGTGGAACTAGTTCAATAATCAATCTTCGCTTGTAATTGATCGCTCTTCTTCTTAAATATATTCTTTTTGTAGTTCTCTAGTTTTTTTTTGTACATAATCAAATTTTTGGGTACCCTTAGACTGCTTCAACGGTATTCTTTGTACTTTTGGTCTCTGCACATACAGCTAAACATATTAAGCCGCTGCTGTAAGTCCCACTGCCCCCACTACCCCCTGCCTGCGCTCGCCCCCTTTAGACCACGCCTCTGCTGCACGCTCGCTGCGCTAAAAACAGCAATTGCAACTATAACAAAAGCTGCTTATCAACTGCACAAACAACAACCAATGCAACAGCAACAACAACAACAACTACAACTACAATTACTACAACAGCAACAACAACAAACCCTAAAAACCTTTTATTTGCCTAACTTAGTAGTAACTAAAAATTTAGTATTTAATATTAAAAACAAAAACTTGAGTCTACGACTCTGAAACAACAACAACAACAGCAAAAGTACTACTCTGTATATGTATATGTATGTATGTAGATGCCTGCCCCTAGCAAACCACTTACCACCCGAAGATCCCGCCTGGTGTCATGATAAAACACCCACCTCCTCCACACAATGTTGCCAAGATGATTTTTGCAATACGCGTGAAAATTACAATGGTGTTATACCAGGTGAGAGTTGCTTAAAAACCATCCAAAAACCACAAAAAAAATACAACGACCCAACTTTCCATATCCATCCACTCGCCATTCCACGCTCCAATATTCCAACATTCCAGCTGCCATCTGCCATTCCCATCCATTCATTCATCCATCACAAAAAAACATCGGCGGATTCGAAAAAAAATGTTATTTTGTTTTTCTCACTACACGTGACGCCCCTCTTGTCGTTTAAAGCCACGCCCATGTCATAGCACCGTCACATTTGCGTTTTCCTTTAGACAGACCTTTGTGTAGCACACGCAGCAAAACACACAAACACACATACACACACGCATACCTGTCACACTGTAGTCAGCCCCTTTTTACTCAGTCTCTGCTCCACATTTACATGCGTCTGTGCCGTCTATAAATAAAAAAAGAACTGTTTTGGTTTGTTGGGATTTTTGCCTTCCTTTTCCATTACGCATACACACCAACATACATACACGCCCGCACATACACACCCGTTTTGTGTTGTTGTTGTGTATTTCACCTTGTCTCACTCAGTTTGTTTTGCGGCCTCGTCGTTACTCCTTATCCTCCATCCACTTGTCGCTCGCTGTGTACTCGAGTTGTCTGCTGACCTTTCGCATCATTCATATTGACTTGTTAAAAACACGACGCACACACAAAAGCCAAACAACTGTAAAAATAAAAGGAAGTATGCAAAAACAGTAGCACAAACAATAACAACAAAAACGGCAACTGTCTCAAGGGGGCCAAGCAAGAACAACAACTGCATAAGGAGTAGAAGTAGTAACATCAGACAGCGCGCTCTCCCGCTCACTCGTGCGCAGCCAACTTGTCTGCGTTAATTCTGTCTGCCTCTTATGCTTCTGCTTCTGTTTCTGTTTATACCAAAGTCGTGTGCATTCATATTCATTCATGTGCGGCTGCGGCTGTGGCTGCATTGCGATGTTAGCGTCGCTGTCGACGTCGCTGCCTAACGGCTTCATTCCATTCATTAATGGCCGCATTTTTGTGTGTTTTGCCGTCTGCAGCCTATTTATATTTTTTCTGTGTGCCCCTACGCTCATCTAAATATTATTGGTAGTTGTTTGTTTATTCAATTGTATGTATGTGTGTATGAGTGAGTGTGTGTGGGCTTGTTAAGTGTGTATGCCTGTGTTTATACTTTATTGCTCTCTAGTTTTTAAGTTTGCGCCGCTAAGTATGCAAAGGTTTGTAAATATGTAACTACCAAATGTCAAAGGCAGGTTAGTGCCAATTACTACTACTACTTACACATACATATATGTATATAAAAATACACACACACAAACATACACTCGCACACGCACAGACACACACAAAGCCTAACAACTAACGTATTTTGGTTTTAAGTGCACCTTGGTTTATTGGGTTTGTTTTATTATTGGTTTTCGTTATAAGTTCTAATTGATAGCTTGTTTTAACGCATGTTGCCTTCTCACTTATACACTTACTTTCTGGCATTTAATTTTCCATTAATTCTCACGCTCAGCTTTTTTGCAGCCTTTAATGTGTACTTCTAAGTTTATTAATACCTATTCGTATTCCAATTAGAATATCGGTCTAATAAGACGCTGTCCAGTTGGCAATTGGTCACTATCATAGTGGGCGCCACTTTAAGCATTTGCTTTAGTGGCACTGTAGTCTGGTATTTCTGCCAGCGTCGCAAGCGTTTGGCCAATGGACGACCGTTCGCCAAGGAGGATTCTGTCTACGATCCCATACTAAATGGCAACACTACGCTACATGATATTATTGAGATGACCACCTCGGGCTCTGGATCGGGTGAGTGTAACATATAGATAAATTTCAATAATGGGGCTTACTTTTGAGCCATAAGAAGAGGGCCTAATGGAGTTCCGCACCTAGAGAAATAAGGTTGATTATGCTTTTTAGTGAGAGATTACTTATTGTAGGTTGACTCATTTTACTGTCAGCAGAGGCTCTGACCACAAGACCTCACTTATTCACTCAAAACTCAATATCACCTCATTCGGTATACTATCTCATTAAACTCCCAAGATGTCAACTTACCTCTGCATATAAAACTACTCTAATATTAATCTAATCCCTCGCTGTTCTTCTCCCAGCTGGACTGCCGCTGCTGGTGCAGCGCTCGATTGCACGTCAAGTGCAGCTGGGCCATGTGATTGGCAAGGGACGTTTCGGCGAGGTGTGGCGCGGACGCTGGCGTGGCGAAAATGTGGCCGTCAAGATCTTCTCTAGTCGTGAGGAATGCTCCTGGTTTCGTGAGGCGGAGATCTATCAAACTGTAATGTTGCGTCACGAGAATATATTGGGTTTCATAGCAGCGGACAATAAGGGTGAGCTGTTACCCCTTCAAACTATTTCTCAACTAATATTATGGATTGCTTTTGAATAGACAACGGCACCTGGACACAGCTGTGGCTAGTTACGGATTATCATGAGAACGGCTCGCTATTTGATTATTTGACCACGCACACCGTGGACACTAATACCATGTTGAACATGGCGCTGAGCATTGCCACGGGTCTGGCACATCTGCACATGGACATTGTGGGCACACGCGGCAAGCCCGCCATTGCGCATCGAGATCTCAAGTCAAAGAACATACTGGTCAAGTCGAATTTGAGCTGTGCCATTGGAGATCTGGGTCTGGCTGTGCGGCATGTGGAAAAGGATGATTCAGTTGATATACCGTCCACACATCGTGTGGGCACCAAGCGCTATATGGCGCCCGAGGTGCTCGACGAGAGCATGAATGCCCAGCACTTCGATTCGTATAAGCGTGCGGATGTCTATGCCTTTGGCCTGATACTGTGGGAGATAGCGCGTCGCTGCAATATGGGCATGATCTTTGAAGAATATCAATTGCCCTACTGGGATGCTGTGCAGCCCGATCCCAGCATTGAGGAGATGAAAAAGGTCAGCTGAACCACATAACAAATGTGTGATTATCTCTATTGTCATTTGGCATTGTGATGTGTCTTGCAGGTCGTGTGCATTGAGAAGAGTCGGCCGAATATACCCAATCGCTGGCATGCTTCGGATGTGCTCCACAACATGGCCAAAGTCATGAAGGAGTGCTGGTATCCCAATCCAGTGGCGCGACTCACAGCGCTGCGCATCAAAAAGACGCTAGCCAGCATACGTGTCGAGGACAAGGTCAAGAACTGATTGTGGCCCTAATGTGTGTGTGTAGCCCTCACCTTTTCCACGAAAATTTGGGATGCGTTTAATCTAAATGGAGTTGCGTGTGCAACTGCATCGCAACTGTGCAACCTGTAACCTGGCCCCGTGTTACCTTCAAGCAGCAAACAAAAAGAAAAGAAAATTAAGAGAGAACTAAGCTAAACTAAACTAAACTAAACTAAACTAACAAATACGCTGTAAATACTTAGATCTTATATGCCCTATTCCCCACACACATGCTATGAACTGTGCTCGTTTTATATTATCCTTTGCATTTCGCATCTACTTTTACTTTTGTACATATATCTATATATGCGTATGTATATGCCTATATATTTCGTTGACATTTTCCGCTGAGATTCGCTTAGTTTTTCATGAAGGCAGCGGCGCGCCACAAGAAAACAAAAACCAATATAAATAAAGAACCGCCGCACTGCCAATTTGTGCTAAAAAAAAAAAAGAAAAAAAATAATGAGATAAACAATTAGGGCCTAAATATGTATACCTAACATATATTTTTTATAGCCACTGTTCACAAACAAACAAAAAAAATATATAGATGAAAAACGAAAACGAAAACAAAAACAAAATACATACAGTTAAAAGACTTTGCCAAGACTGAGCAGCAGTGAGAACAGCAGAAAAAAACCCGAAAATACAAAAAGAAAAGCCCCAAAAAGTGAAAGAAAGAAAAACCCCAAGTTACAAATTACGAATTCCAGTTGTATATCAAACTAATAATCGTATATAGGAAACCGTAGCAATATCTAGTAATTAAACACTTTTTAGGCGTTTATCGTTGACAAATAAAAAAAATAAATAAAAATAAATAAAATTAAAAATATTTATGAAAACTCAGGAACTCACAAATTACAAAAAAATCAACAATTTTGAAAAGCAAACAAAAAGTTAAACAAGTTTATATGGCGCGCCGACTGCTGCATGCCACGCCCCATAACCATGCCTGCCCCGTCCCGCCCTCTACCCCTTTAAGCTGTTGCTGCTGTGTGTGCGTCTCCTAAGCTAATTATACATACACGCATAACATTATATATATATACCTATACATATATATACATAAGTTGCTTTTAAGTTTTTCTATATATATATAGGTTCTTCAAAAACTTCATTTTAATTGTTTTTCATCAATCATTTGTTTTTTTTTTTATTTAGATCTGTTATAACCAAAGCTTGTTCTTCCTAATTTTACTGTAGTCATAAAACAAGTTGAGAGAAAGAGAGTAATATATATAAATTAAATATATATATTTATTTAAATGTATATTTGCTTGATGTTTCTTGAACAAAACATATTAAAAGCGTTAAAAAAATTGATAAAGAAAATGCATCGCGCTGAGAATTGTAACTTTTAAGTCATTTTGCCACACTGTAAAACCTATATTAGCTGTGTTGTCTAACGTATCATGGATCATTTAATAATTTCAATTGTATGTTGTATGTTTTATATGTCTACAACACATATACACACCCACACTCACACAACAAACCAGCCATAGCCAAGCAAACTAGAAAATCCCTCAAATCAAAGCCGCAATAGTAGTTTCTATGCAAACATTAAATGTTGCTTGACACAGCCAAGAGATTAAACAACACTGAAAAAAACGGAAAAATTAAAAAAAAATCATTAATTTTACATTTCATCAAGCTACAACTAAGCAACATATTATAATTATTATGTATAACAGTTCTATTTGATATGCGTATAACGAGTAAAGAGAAAAAGTAAAACTCTATATATATATACATATATATGTATATATATATATATGTATGTGAACCTAAACTAGTTTGTTACGACTTTCGGCCTGCGAAATTTAATTTCCTATTAATTTAGGCAACTGAAAAAAAATAACAAAAACAAGAATTATGAAATACGTTTACGTTTAAGTTTAAAACTAATTTCCTGTAATTTGTAATTTTGCTGAATTCCAAAAAGACCCAAAATTCAGTGAAAAAAAGAGACGAAATAAATGTAATTTAAGTTTTTACAACAAGAATATTCCTGTAATTGTAAAATGTGTAAATATTTGCGAAAGAAAAACAAAAACCATTTGAAACATTGTTAAAAATGTTAAATGTTTTCCCAAAAAAGCAACAGAAAACAGGCGAAAACTGTTTCGTTTGCCAATGCTTGAAACAAATATAAAGTAATCAAAGATTCTATTTAAACAATATCGCTCTATAGAGGCCTCTTAAACCGTACTGAGTTAAAAACCGAAGAAATTCAAAACAAAAAAAAAACTGTAAAAGACTTGAACAACAAATGCGCAAAAAGAAAACCTTTTTAAAAAAAAACATCCTATTTTCCAGCTAAGAAAAATTATTTTTAAATTAAAAAAAAAAGAAAAGCAGAAAAAGAAAACTTGTTAGGCTCAAGTTTTCCTAAATATATATTTTTTGGCAGCATCTGTGTTTTGTAATGTGTATTGGAAGAGCGACAGAGAGAGAGAGAGAGAGATCGTATGGAAATCAGGATGTGAATTGGAATTTTGGATATGTATGTAGTATGTGAAACATTTACGGTGTACTGTTAAAAATAAAAATACAAAACAAAAGCAAAAAAATGGAAAAGAAAATGAGAACAAACAAAAAAAAAGCGTTGAAAGTGTAAACAGAGTCTAACTTTTAGCTTTAAGCTGCGTTTTTACTGGCACTTTAAATAAAAACAAAACCCAAAAAAATATTTGTAAAAACAAACAAAATTTTAATATTTTGCAAAAAAGAAAAATCAAACAGTTGCGCAACTGTTAACGGGTTTTTGCGTATTCCTTCTCATTTACTTTGGCTAACCAGTCGAAAGGTTAAAAGTTCAAAAATTGGGTCATACGTCTATCAAGTTCACTTATTCATATGGCCTTAGGTGTGTTTTAATTAAAATCGCTTGTGCTGGTCCTGTGCTTGCCCTTGATTTATGGTTTTATTGTTAGAACTTTTTAATTTTTGTTTTTGGCCACGTTTTAGTGTGACGCCTGAGGTCATGTATTTTGGACCCAAAATGCGGGCACACATTTGTTTAACCCAGTTCCGATGAGTATTATTCTGTTTATATATATTATATATTGGTAATATGGTAAGTTGATGAGGTTATAAAGGCAACTATAAGGACGACAGCTCAATCGTGTACAGTTAGTCTATTCAACCAGCTGCAAGCTGGATGTTTAAAATATATATATTCTCGTCAGGCGTGAACGACTAGCAGATACCCGGAATCTTATGATTGGATATTGCGGAATATATATATATATATATATATATATATAATATATTTGAAATGGGCAGGCTCTAGCTATTGTGGCTTACGAGAACTCTGTGTTGAAACGAATGAACAGACTTGGACATAGCTAGACATAACTAGATCCACTGAGCTTGTCGTTCTAATCAAGAATATATGTACTTGAGGGCGTCTGTCACGCCTTATGCTTTTTATATACATAATCACAAAAACATACTCTAAATTCTAAATTACCCTTTAAAAAGAGTTCAGGCTATATCTATATCTTAACTTGGCTGAATAAAAAATCAATTTGAATAGAATTCAAGCAGCAAAAATTGAATTTTTAAATATAGGTACTTAGTTGTTTATAATTTTAAGAATTGAATTTTTGAATTGAATTTTATTTTAAATTTTATTTAAGACCTCTACATTTTTATTTAGATCAAAAAAACTCTAGGCTCTTAACTCAAAAGCCTTGTCAACTCAGTTAAGGCTAATTATTAATGCAATTAACTGACACAATCTAGCAAATTTAGTTAACATTTTGAAGGTCTTCAATTTGCTATAGCACAACATTTCATCCTTTCACTTACCCCAACAATTCTGTAAAATTTGCAGCTGAAATCTAGGCAACAACTGCTCGCAGAAAAATTGGCCCAACGCAAATATAATTTAAAGCATTTTCTGCGCCTTTGAAGCAGAAATTTTTCAAAAATAAATAATTAAAATTCATTTTTGGTTTTGCGGGCTTTGCGCCCTTTGCACTTTTTTTGCGTGCCTTAAATTTTGTTGCTGTTTATTTAATTTGTTTACTTTGATTGTGTTTCTTCATTAACATTTCGCATGGTTGTTTGTGTTGTGAAATACATTTACATAGGTTTAATATTAAATACAGATATATATATCTCGTTAGACTTGACTTGATGCGAATAAAAAACGCAAAGTGCTAGGGAAAAAAACACACAAGGTACAGTTCACATTGCGGTCATGGCTACATGTTCATTATTATATTATTATTATTTTTATTATAATTCTATTTTATTTAAATAAACAATTTCATTTGATTTACACATTAAGAGTTTGGAATAAACTTTTTTGGTTGCTTTAATACTTGCTGTAATAACATTGAATGCCTCAGTCAGTATTATATATATATATATAGATACATATATATTATATATTTTATTTTGGGAATAAATATTTAATCTCTACGTAAAACACATTCAAAATTTTATTTGATTATTATAAGTGTGTTAATTATTTTCATATATATTTATATTTGTTTAAAACAACGAGAGTGATATGCATTTGTTAAACATTTGATATGTATTTTTCTTCATATTTTAGAGTTTGAATTTTTTTTTTGTCTTTTAATATATATTCTTTAAACGTTGCCTTTAGGTTGTCGCCAGTAAAATATATATATTTTTAAATAACTTTCCGTCTTTCGCCTGCTGCTCAGTTGCGACGCTGCTGAAAAATGCTAGTCATATGCTGTTGAGAGAGAGAGAGAGAGTTTAGAGAGTTGATATATATCAATATATATGTGTATTTATAGGGTATTGTAGAGGTTTACTTGTGCGCTTACCTCTTGGCCCACATCAACGCAGTCGAAGGCATCGCGAAAGTAGCCGCAGCTCAGCTTTGATGCTCCACGATGATGCAAACGTTGGTGCTGGCAGCACATGCCGCTAAATGCAGCAAGTATGAGATCATAAATTATTTATCAGAAGATACCCTGTACGTATGCCTTATATAAGTTACTTTTTAGGTCAGTGAGTTCCGCACAGGGACGTTTGCTTTTGACAGTATAACAATTTGAGAGAGAGGGAGAGAGGAGATAGGGGCTAGCGAAAGAAAGACAGAAATCCCAGAGAGACAACAAAAATAATTTTGGAGACATGTTTATAAATAGACTTTAATGGACAAGGCTAAAGACAGAAACCAAAGACAAACTGACAAACAGATTGACAAGCAGTTTGTCAAACTAAGAGGCCATATTTAGGTGCAAATTTGTGACAAATCTGAGCTGTTAGCACTTACTTGACCACTTGACAATCGCTGGTGCTGCTGCAATCGCTGCCCAGCGGCTGCTTGGGTCGCACATGGAAAACATCCGTCAAGAGTGGCGCCTCCGTTTCGCAGCGCCAGATGCCCTCCTGGGGGACCAGCATGCAGGCGCTGCCCGGTTGACAGTCGGCATGCCGCTGGCACAGATCACGCTGTCGTCCGAACACATAAACGCATTTGCCCTCTGCCAACAGATTTGCAATTAGATAGGGGTTTCGAGCGGACACCCGCAACAGCCCACAACTTACCGCCATATGTGTGCACGCAGACCCCAGTGGGGCAGCAATCGTCGTTTAGCAGGCAGGCGCGATTTGCGCAGGGCGTATCCTCAATCAGTGGCTCCACAATGCCATAGACCTCCGCCTGTGGCTGGCGCAGTGGCGCAGACAGTGGCTGCAATTAGAGAAACATTTGCGTCGCACCATGGGGCGTATGCGTGTTTTATTACCTATTGACTGCGCGCGTGCCATATTTCAATACATATTTTATGGCTCGCTGCAGAAGGCTGATTAACTGTCTGCTATAATTTGCTCAGCACAATTTGATTATAATTCTGCTGTGCGACGCAACGCGTTTGAACTTTGCACTTTAAACAAAGCCACATAACTGCCGCATGTCGCATGCCACATGTCAACATGCCGCATAGCGGTAGCTGGTGGCAGCTTTAATTAATTAACAACCGCTGCAAGTCGTTTCAATTTATGTGGCGCACATGCTGCCGTTGCATTTGGCAGCTGCTCGCTGCACGCTGCTCGCTGCTTGCTTCGTTTTTTGTGTGGGCGCGCACACGCTGCGTATGAGTGATGCAGCTGGTTTTTGCGGTTTTATACGCTTTTGACTGTTCGTGCCTGGCTTATTAGCTCACTCTTCAATTTGTATAATCATTTTATAAGCCAATTGCATATTGAATATCAAAATCTTTGAATTATAATTGGACTTTGTGCAAACGTTCGATTGATTATCAATAATTGGATTGACATTTATTTGCCAAGTGAAGTGAAAAAAATGAATTTGGATTGTCTTAATATCAAATTATAAATTCGTATATAATATACTCTTAATACTCTTAAAATATGTATGCAGAATTTCAATGTATTTAAACCGCTTTTAGCACAGTTAATATTTCCTCTAGCCATACTTAAGTTTTTCTCATTAACCGAAAGCCTTTACTCAATTTACTAAATTGACAAAACTAGCTACGTGTTTCTCGCAGTTTTGCTTCACTGTGCGTGGGCGTTAACTGCGCCTTGCTCATTTTAATTAGCCAGTCGCCGTTGGGACTACCGTTCTATATTGCCTATAAAACTTTGTGCTCACCTGTTGTTCCGCTTGCTTCTGCTGCTGTTGCTGTTGTTTTTGCTGCTGCTGCTGCTGCTGCTGCTGTTGTTCCATGGCAAATAGCTGGGCATAGTCGTTATTGTAGCCCGCATTGTTCAGATTGCTGGCAAACATATCAAAGTTGGCGCCCACATCGACTGGCGGCGGTGCTGCATTGCGATGCAGCAAGTTGCGTGAATTGCGTTCAAAGAGTGATGAACGCTGCCAGGCTTTGCTCGACATGGAGCTTGCATTGGCGCCCAGCTGCAGGGCCAGCAGGCCGAGCAGCAGTAGCTGCATCGGTATGCGTCTCATGTTGCACGCAGCTCTCTCGCTCTCTCTGTCTCTCTCTCTGGCTTGCTCGCTCGCGCTCACTAGTACCACATTGCCAGAGGCTGTAAAGGCTGTGTGAAAATGTTAGAAGCCAAAACCAAATTGCGGCCTTAATTAAAATACAACTAAACGAGATTTGGCTAACAGGCACTTGCCAACTGTTTTTGCCGGAATTAAAGCGCTTGGCCCATGGCAAGAGCAGAGAAAAAACCAGCCTCAGGCCGTATCCTGACCCAGCTCATTAAAATGTGTGGGGTGTGTGTGTGTGTGTGCCAGTGTGTGTGTGTGCGGGCCTGCTTTTAGTGTTATTACCGGCACTGACTTAATTTATGCGTCTCATACTCACTTAGCGCTTTTTATTGCGCCGGATGGCAGTTAGACATTCATATATATATGCATACATATATATATGTATATATATATATATATATATATATATATATATTTATAGACATACATCTACATTTAGACATTCTCATATGAAGATATATGTGCTGTGGAAATGTTTGCTCACTATTCATAGGCGTTGAGCTTTTTAGCTTTAGCTGTTTTGTTGTTTTATTTATAGAAAATATAATAAATCAGGTAATTGGATAGAAAGGCGTATGTAATATATATATATAATATATATATATAAATATATACACCTATACATGTATACATATATTTATATATATATATTTACTTATATAGACATCTACATAATTAAGTAGCGCACGTTCTTAGCTAAGGGTTAATTAGTCGTTGCTGTTATTAATGTTGCTTATCGGTAAGAAAAAGGTTAGTTAAGGTCGAAGATGAAGCTGTTTATGCCATATACCCTCTACATTACATTTGCATGATAAGTGCTTTGATTTTGGAGATACCCTGCAGCTGCTGTGTTGGCTTTAAATGTGCAGCTTTTTGCAGGCAAACTTAAAGAAAAGATGAAGACAATTTTCTTAAAAATGTTTCACATTTCATTAAAAAACTTTCAAAGAACTTGTACAGCTCGAGGACATAAAAAAAGAAGCATAAATCAGAAAAATGTTCAGCGGCCTTCTATGTGTCTCTAAGTTAACTAGTTTTTCTGACTAAGAAGTTAGGCTGCACTAGATTGGCAATGCACGACTAACAGATGCCCTGGATCCCAAGATGATCAATTAGATTTTTGCTATTTTAGAGTGAATTGAGGAGATAAATTCCGAAATGTAAATATTCGTTAGCTATGAAGGGTTTGATGTGCCTGAAGCAACTTATGATTATTATGTTTTATTATGAATTACATGAAAAAGGTAAAGTTATTGATGACTTTAATAAAATGTACACTCTTCGTTATCTACGGGATGATTTATGCGTTAAAGGTGCTTCTCAGCTCTCTAGAAATAGCTCTTACAAAACATGCTTCAAGATTGAAGTATTCATAAATACATAAAGGCAGATAGAGGCACAGCAAGACAGTGAGAAACAAGCTTGAGCGTATTATGTTCTTAGCTCGCTCAGTCTATATATTTATATATTTCTCTGTCTGTCTATCTGTATGTAAGAGTGCTTCAATCATAAAACTTGTGTTATGAGAGCTAGGGACCAGAGAAGTATATTTTATTTAGCCTAAAACTAGTTGTGTCTCTGTCTCTTTCTCTCTCTTTCTCTATCTCACTGAGCTTAGTTTTGCTGTCGCCTCTCATGAAGCATATATACGCTTAATAGGTGCAACAAATACTGCTATCTGTTTCGAGGCTTACCCAGTTTGCCTGTTACATATTTTTTTTAACAAAGCCCTCACACAGTACTTACATAATTTCTACTGAAATAATTAGCATAGCTTTATTTATGTGTTTATATTATATATTCCATATATAACAGCTGCAGTCAAATCTCATAATTTTAGCTTAAGCAACATTATTTGTTCAAGATATCAGGTAAATTACAAGGGCTTTATTTTGCCTTTAAGCTCTGCAGTTAATAAGTTAACAAATAATAAAAGTTATTTTGCAACAAGGACATATTTCTTTGGATGTTTTAAAAATTAAGATAAATTATTATTGCCATTTCAATTACCAATTTGCACCTCAATTTAAGATGAACTTTCTACTCTGTGAACACACACCCCATCTCACACACACACACACCTTTAGCTCTAACAACTAGCTAACGAAATTAGTTTAGTTTTGCTGCATAAAATAAAAGCGTTGCATACTTCTTGGGGAGCAGATGTTTCCAGCTGCATGCAACTATGAAATATATCTTTCCATGGCGTGTGCTCTCATGCATGTTGCATTAAAATGGTTCCCCAGACACTCGCTTAGGCAAATTATTATGGCTGTGTGCACTTGCCTTCCTTTCCGCTTGTCTGTCAGCATTGGGGGGGCTGCGGGTGTGGCTGGCAGAGTCTTAGTTACTCTAAATATAGCGACGTCAGGTACGCCATGAGCTGCCCACGACATAAGTCAAATATATTTAACATCGGGTTGGCTACACATGTTGACCCGGGTAACGCCTCAAATCCATTTTATTAATGGAGCTGTCCCAAAGACCCGAAGAAAGCCAAAAGAAACAAACCTTTTATATTTCGAGCTAATTACCTTTCTTTTTTTTAACCTGTTTGCTTTCGCCCTCAACAAATATTTTTGGCGCTCGTTAGAAAAGTTTTGACTAAAAACTTTTTGGCAGCTTCAAAATTGTAATTCACAGAAGCACAGGATGGCTCAGAGAGGGAGAGAGAGAGAGAGAGAGAGACACAGAGATGCTGTGCTCATTAAAATGCAATTTTTTGTTAAATATTTCATAATTTAATCTGTGTGAAATTGTATTTGAAGTTATTTGGCTATTAGGGTAGACTGTCCTTTGATTACGAAATTGGCGTAGAAAAGTAATTTTGAATGCTTCAGCTCGAGAAATTTCATATTTATGAGCGACTTAAATGTGATTAAATGGAGAGAGCCAAAAAGTTTTTGAGTAAATCTGTGTGAGAGGTTCAGAATAGCTATTCATATCAATTTATTGATTTTCCATTTGCTCAAAGTTGTGTGAGCCAAAAAATAAAAAAATAAAAAACTAAAAAACTAAATCCTTAAATGCTGCATGAATAAACTCGATTAAGTTATGACAAATTGGGAAAAAGAACTGACACTATATTATATTATATTGTTAGTTATTGCCCCATCTATTCTCTTATTCTTATGTTCACTTTGCCTTATATAATTAATTATAATTATAATTAATTTTTTCTTTCTTTTGTACCAATTTTTTTAAGTTTCCACTAACACGTATAATTGTCAGTAAGTTACATTATTGTCACTATATATGGCTATATTTTGTTTTTTTTTTTTTGTAATTATTATATAATTTGTTTGTATTTAACCAATATGAGTTTTAGTTTTAATTAAATAAAAAAAGCAAGATTAAACAAGGGTTCAATAATTAAATCAATAAAAAATAAATAAATAAATACCCAAACAAATAAATACATAATAAAATAAATAATTATAAAAATATATAAATCAGTAAATAAATAAACTTGTTAAATAAATACATAATAAATACATAAAACATATTAAATATATAAATAAAAATAGATAAAACATAATTAATAAATAACTAAATAATTAACATAAAGAATAAATCAGTTAAGATTAAAAATTATAACATTATTTTGAATAAAACAATTTTACAAACATATTAAGAAGTCACCTCATTATCGCTTAATTTAAATCTAGATCTAGTTCTGCAGTATATATTTATAAAAATATTTTAGATGCTTAAATAAGTATTCACAATGAACTTCTTTGAAACTAAAACAAATTTCAATTTGAATCTCAGTTTTCAAGATTATTTTAAACAAATCTATGAAATTTTTCGCTTTATTAACTTTTTATTCACAAAATCTTAATATTAAATAAAAGTTTTCTATTTAAACAGACTTGATTATAAAGCAGAAAATATTTGTGGACTTAGTTTAAGATTTCCTCACAACTTTTCAAATATTTGATCATAAGACAAATCGAGTTAATCTTTTTTCATTCAAAACGTAGTGAAAGTTTTACTATTGGTCACTGTTTGCAAATGTCCAAGAGTTTTGATAACTAAGACGTGCATTTCCTATTTACTTACAGCCAAGAGTTTGTCAGGAAATGCCAACTTTTGACAGCCAGTTGACAACAACTTATTTTATTTGACAACAAAAAGAAAAAGGCAGAGAGGAAGATATTTGCTGTCAACGGAACAAGCCATAAAAGCCAAAGTGAAGCGGACAATTTTGATGATTTACTTAACGCAACAAAAATAAACGGCAAATGCTCATTAAGGCCTAAGAAAGGTGTTTGTTGTGCGTGTTTGTGGGCGTGACACGTCTGCACATGTCGTCAAGAAATATGCTGTCAACTTGATTATTGTTAGGCGAGTTTAGACAAAGTTGAAAAGTTAATTATGTCAGCGCATTAATAACACACAGCTGCACACACGCCCACACACACACACACACATATGTATATATTTATATACTTTCATAAATTGTAACTGTTTATGCAGCTTATAATTGCAACTTGCCACAATTTATCGCACTTCTCACTTCAACTTCAAATTGCAAACACAACAAACACACCCACATCCACAGCCACACACACTCACTCACTTAACTTACTAGCTAAATGTACCTGCTGCCTGTGTGTCCTTTCAGCGACTGTCGGCCAACACCTGTCGGCTGCCTGCTACAAGGCGCAAGAAAGCTTTTTTCCGCAAGCTTTTTCGCTAGCGCTGCGAACATTTTTATGAATTAAAAGCGCGAGGCAAGCTTTCGCTGTGTGTATGTGTGTGAGGCCTATGGAATCAATGAAAGGCTACAATCATTTATGTACCTAGCCTTTATGCCTCGTCCCAATGACGTCACAGCCAGCGGTTGAAGCATGTCCTTTGACTGCCTGAAGCTTGTTGCCTGCCCAAATATTTGATAAGCCTGCCAAATATTGTTGTCAACTGACAAGAAATCGCTGCGGGCTGCCATTTTGACTATGTTGAAATACGGCTTAAGTAAAATTTATAATACTCTAAAAAAAAGTTGAGCTTGCCTCGAAAGCGGAAATTTGATTACAGAGGAAACTTTTGCTGCGTTTGGTGTCGGTTGATAAAGGAAATTCTATTACATATTTCCTCTTTATGTGTGTTTACTGTACCTTTTCTTATTATTCTTATTATTACTTGGCTTCAGCTTTCTTTATTACTCTCGTTTCATAAATTCAAATATAGTTAAATCTCAATTAATGACTTTATGTAGAGCATTGGCAATGCGCTCTTAAACGAAGAAATCAAATAGAATCTGTAAGCAAGGGAAATTGTTTTCTTATAACCAAATAATTACTTTGTAATTAGAGTAACCATAGAATTACTTTATTAGACTTGAAAATTAAATGCCTCAACCATCAGCTAAGCAGCAGAAACTAAGCTAAAGAGACTGCTCAGTAACTGTTCGAGTATGAAGCCATTTCTGCTCATTGACCTAAAATCACATGCTAAAGAAAACGTATTGAAGTTGAAGATAATATCATATGATATATGAGCAAACACTGAAGGCAATGGCAGAAGAAGTAAAGCAGTCAAAATTGGCGAGAGTCTTAAATAGTTAATAACTTAAATTTCTTTCAGGCAACTAATGTACTTTATAGTCTTATATTATAGTATTATATTAAGAGGGGACTGTAAAGAATGTCACATAAAGGAGATTCTTCTAAAAAAGTCAAAAATTTTTAAATGATAAATAAACGATAATTCAAGGAGATCTTAACAGAGCTCATTTCTCAAAACCTGGCACAAACCTGATAAATAAACGATAATTCAAAGAGATCTTAACAGAGCTCACTTCTCATAACCTGGCACATGTCGCATAAAAAAAAATATATATAATTTATAATCAGCCTTTTTAGTCAAGAAACTCTAGCAGCAAGAGCTCTACACAGCTGTCAGCTTTATACCAAAATCTTTAGCTAACTAGACATTCTTAAATACCCAACTAGTTCATTAGCTTATTGTTATTTATACACAAATAAAGTGTCCTGCAGGCAGCTGTGTGGATGCTTTGACAAACCGTTCAAGCGTGATTACAATTTTTATTTATATTTTTATTTTTATACGCCGAAACCATTTGATATTTACCTTGAAAACAACATAAAAAGCCCAAAAATAAGTTGAAATTCCGATCGATTAGGGCGAAAAAGCTTTTAAGCATTATGCACATGACGTATACGCAACGTTGTACAGTTCCATGTACGATGTTTGGCCTTGCTCTTGGCCTTATCCTGTTAACCTTCGGCTGCAGCTCATTGGCAATGACAGCCTTGTGCCACAGAGAGTTGCCGGCGCGCAGAGTAGATTGCACAAAGCACTCGTTGCAACACGGAAGGCAACTCGCTGCCTGCCGCTCGGCATATGCTCTGTGCAACGCTGCCAATTGCAGTTGCAAATGCTTATCTTCCACCGGAAATTGCTTCGACTAGCTGTTGCTTAAAGCGTCAGAGCTAGCTGTATCCTGCACCTTCGCATCTCACCTTTGCACTTTGATTGCGCTCGCTTTTGATTTGATTTTATCATTATTTTTTTTTTTTTTTGTGAAATCCAATTTTACTTAACATGATTTGATTCTCAGCGGAATATAGTTGCTGTTATTTATTTATTTTTGCGATGCTGCTGTTGCTTCAAATGGACTTGCCGTGTTTCCGTGTGGCATCGGGAATTATTGCAGCTGGGTCAACCAGTTTCTTAGCTGGGGTTTCATTACACTATGAAATTGATTGCAGCCATGGGAAACTAATGGGTAATGATGGAATTGAACATGAATTAACTATGATATTGAGTAGAGACTAAATAAAATGAAGAGCTAGAGAAGAAGCGTACTTTATATATGTGACGCCAGGGATCCTGAATATCTCTAAGTAGAAGAGTAATTTCGAGTAAGTTATTTATATAAAATATAGGTATAGTGTATATAAATTTAAATTTAAATCTTAATTCTCATTTCCCACATAATAAAAATAAATATTTTGGACATAATATTTTGGACATACTAAATTACACTCGTTTATTTCGTCATATTTGTTTATGGATTTCGCTTTGTTCGTTTTTGTACGCTTAAGATGCTAACAAATGTTTATATAAATATATAAATATATATATATTTGTATATAAATAAATATGTTATATATCGTTCAGATATAGCATTTATCATAGAGTTTTAGCATTAATTAAATTAATTAATAAATTCAATTGAACTAAAAACATATGCTCTCTCTCGCTCTCGCTCTCGCACTCGCATATTTGCATTTCAACATAACAACAATTTGCCTATGAAAATTAACAATTTCATTCAAGTTTCTAGCTGAATCAAAGGTAAAAGTTAAATAAAAAAAACGGCAATAATAAATATTAATTAAATAAATAAATAAATAAGCTTAGCAATTAAAATAAATATGCCTTAACATTAGTATTGCGTAAGTCGTGGTAGGGTGTTGATATGATGGAGTGTGAGGGAAGGAAGCTCGAACTCTAAAATATTTTCAGTAGTCGCCCGAAAGTAGGCAACAGAAATTGTTGCACAGTTTGACAGTCGCTGCAATTTCGCATATTAAACTAAGGAAAGGTAGAGTTTTGTGGGTGAATTTTTATGAGTTTTGTGAAAGCGACGCTCCTATATATATACATATATATATATATATATTCAATATTTATGCAATATATATATATATACATATATTTATAAGTTATTTCGCCACGCTGAAGTCCTCTAAAAACTATTTTCTATTTACAGTTGCGTTGTGTGTGTGTGGGCGTGGGCGTGGCTTATTTAACGCCCGTTATGCTGCGTAGCCAAGGCTTATAGAATGTGGTACGCATATAGACGCCCGGCAGATACGGCGCCGCGCACTTGATGCCATGCGATACAGTGCCAGCCAGCTCGTAACGTCCATCGGGACGCTGCAACACCAAAGGACCGCCGCTGTCACCCTGCCAAGAAAGTTGATTAAAAAAGTTTCTAAACAGCTAATTGCGGCATTTACCTCGCACGAATCCTTCTGCCCATTGGCATAGCCCGCACACAGGAAGGAGCTAAGTATCTTCTTGTTGTGCCCAGCCGTGTGGAACATCTCCTGGCAGACGCTGTTCTCAATTATTGGCACCTGTTGCGTGCGAAAAGCCAATTAAAAGTTGTTCGTAAAGCGCTTAATCAATCAGCATGGGCTAATAGCTCATTACTGCTGCACACACACACACTCACCTGCACCTCCTGCAGCACTGAGGGCACACCGCCGCCGTACTTGAGTCGACCCCAACCAGTCACTGTTGCCATGCGACCTGTGAAGTCTGCCTGATCGTTGGGCATGCAAATTGGAACTGCGAAGGAGACGAAAGATTAACTTGAGTGTAGGTGGCAATAACTTTTAATATAATTCAAAAGAGTTTGAATTTATTTATATGAACTGACTATCGCTTTGATGATAGCGATAATCATCATGGTTCACTCTTAGTCTGTGCTGTTTAATCTACTCTAATTTGTCCTTGAATAAGCTAATGATAAGTGTTTTATGATTATCATTTAAGCGCTATTAGTTCTTGATCTATAGTCAATCTTTTCAGCTGCAAAATATGGTTATAGAGGCTATAAACTATTCAGCTGCCTTACCTATCAAAAAGGCAGTCGACAGTGTCCGACTAGAAGATATCTAAGCAAGGTAACCAGACTTAATTGCCTACTTGTTGAATTATTTTATTGATTTATTTCTCCCTGTTCAGCTGCACTACTTACCTATATGCGTATCAAACTGCACGGGACTGTCCATTTCGAGCAGCGCCAGATCGTTTTCGAACGTGGCCGGATCGTATTGACGATGCACAATGACGCGCTTCACATTCTTCGTAATGGGACGTTTGCTCTCCAGATCACCGGAGATATCGAACTCACCCATGACAGCAACCAAAGAGGCCAAGAAACTAGAGAGAGCATTAGGCATTAGCTAAGGCACTTGCTTGGCATGTTAGCTTAGAACTTACCCGGGCTGGCAATGAGCAGCGGTGATGACGTAGCGACTCGTGATTAAAACGCCGCCGCATTTGTTCTTGGTAAAGAGTCCCAGCCAGGTGGATTCGCGTACTAGAACCTGCCAGGGAAAGGCGCCGAATGTGGAGCCTTTGCCGCCGACAATGCGACCCGATTTAACATGAGGACGAACGCCGCATTCTGTTGATGGGGAGTGAAATGTGAGGTTAGGAGTAGGGAGTGTTCACAAAGCGAGCGAGCGAGTGGGTGAGAGCGAACGAATGAATCAAATGTGAGCGAGCGAGCGAGCGAGCGAGCGAGCGAGCAACTGACAGACAGCCAGTAAAAGAGATACACAGAGAGAAACGGGGAATAGCAAATGCAAATAATTGCGGGACTAGGCAAGAAATGGAATAGGCACGAGGAAATGGGGCTTTAACTAGGCTACTTAAAGTGGATCGGGGATTAGGGGGATTAGCGGGTTTAACTAGGCTACTAAGAACTAGCTATGTGACTATGTGGATAGCGTTTGGATGTTTCAATGATGGCGATGCCTGTGGACAGGCCGTTTGAGCCGGCGGCGTGCTATAGTTGTTGTTTATGGAATGATTCAAGATGCAAGGATGGACATTTTTGGATGGTATTAATCAATTTAGTTGGCAAGGGTTAACGAACGTAATGTGTGCATGAATTATTAGAAACAAGAGAGAAAACAAAGAATAGAGATAGATAGACAGTTTGTTTTCGGGGTCCAGGCTACAAACACTCAACACTTACGTATTTTGCGTCCGTTGGCACCACCGTACGAGCTGAGCGTCTCTTGCTCGATCTCGTTCTCATGCGGACTCGGATTAACGTCCTCCTCGTCCTCCTCATCGACAATTTCATCGTTAGCTGGTCGCGCAGTGGTGGTCACACGTTTCGTTGGCTTCTTGGAGCTGGGACGTCGTGTTGTGGTGTTGGGTCGACGTGTGGCCGGTTTGCGTGTGGTGCTAGCCGAAACCTTCTTGTTGGGCGCCTTGGTGGAGACTCGGGTCACTGGTTTCTTGGTGGTTGCCTTTGGCTTTGAGGTGGTTGCTACGCGCACTGGCTTGCGTGTGGTCTTCCTATTGACGTTGGTGGTGCTCACCGCACCGGAGGCGTAAGTGGATGCTGTATTGTTCGACTCGTCGATCATGTCGGCCAGTGCTTCGAAGTTGCCCTGCAGCGAGGCCACCAGCTTGTGCACAAGCGTGTGCATCTTATCCTTCAACACAATGTCCTCGACAAAGGCGGGCGTCGATAGCTCCAGGTCGCTGGTCACAGCGCTCGACGCGGCGGACATATTTAGATTTGGATTGCGCACCGGCGGGAAGTTGACGAAATCATTGGGTGAGGTATACGTCTCCTCGACATTCTGGCCAACCTTCTCGCCGGGCACCGGGAATGCCGGATATGTGGGCGTCGGACCATAATAGCCTGGGAAAGCGGGCTTATCATCCGAGGGCACGCCGAACAACGCTTCTGTGGTCGATTGCGTGAAGGTCAAGTGCACGGGACTGCTGCCAGCAGCGGGCATGCCGAAGTAGCCCGGATCCTCGAAGTCATTCGAGCTTACCACGGGCGGCGTGCTGCCGGGACGTCGCGTTACAATCGGTCCATAGATATACGAGTTTGACGTGGAAGCGGTCGAGCCGAGCTTCGTGTCATCCCAAGTGTTCGATGGCACCACATTTATAGTCGTCGGCTTGGGTGTGATCAGTACGGTCGGCTTCGCTGGCTTGGGCGTTATATTGATCTGCACAAATCCGGGCTTCTTGTGATTCACATAGTTGTTGGTGGGCTGCTGTATGTGTATGGGCGTGGAGGCGGTGGCGTAGAGTGGTGCTTGGTAATTTCCAGGCGTGGAGCCCAGGATATTCTCAGCGGTGCTCTGTATGAAGGCGTCGAGCTTATCATCGGCCATGAACAGCGGTGGCACCTTATCGTAGTGGTAGTCCACAGTGGCTGGGGGACGCGGTGTGGTTGGACCAGTTACATAGCTCGTGGAAATGGGCTTCGAGGAGACGGGCTTGCGCGTGGGTGAGCTAGCCGCTGGCTCATGATAGTTGAGCACAGATTGAGAGGACTCGGCATATGGAGCTGGTGCGGGAGTTGGCGTAGGAGCTGGCTGATCATAGTTGCTTATGGGCTGATCGTAGCTAACTGCCGGAGAGGCTGGCTCATCGTAACTGATCGCAGGCGTGGCAGATTCCTCATAGCCTGCCGCAGAAGCCGATGACGACTGATCGTAGCTGACAGTGGGCGTAGCCTGCTGATCGTAGCTGGAGCTAGCTGCAGCGGGTTGATCATAACTAGAGCTAGAGACGGCTGGTTGATCATAGTTCAGAATTGGAGCTTGTCCATAGCCGGAGTTCAAGTGCTGCTGCTGCTGTTGCTGCTGCTGCTGTTGGTTGTAATTGCCCGCAGGCTGCTTGATCTGTATGTGCGTCACAGGCGACTCGTCTGCGTTGTAGCTGCTGCTGCTCGGCTGAACAGGTCTGCGCGTATTCTGCTCGCTCTGCACTGGCTTCTTCTTGATGATCGTGGGCGTTGCCTGTTTCTTGGGCGGCGGGCGCTTTGTTGTGGGCTTGGGACGTGGCTTGGGACTTGCTGTTATCAAAACTGGACGCAATGAGGAGCTCTCCTGCTGGCTATCATATTGTGGACGCTGCGCTTGCGTCGTTGTCGTGGCAGCCAGGTAGCTGGCTGTGGGCAGTGGACTAGCTGTGACCAGCTTCTCGGTTTGCTGATAGCCGGATGAGGTTTCATCATATTGCTCCTGCACTTTGGTGGTATGCGACGAGACAGAGACCTCGGCGGGCACATTGTCATTGTAGTGCTGCATGGTCACCATGCCGATGTAAGAGGCCACCGGACGATTGGAGGTTGAGGGACGCACGTAAGCGGGCGATGGCTGAGGCGGCTCTGTATAGCTGTTCGTAATCTTCTCAAAGTTGATCTCGGTATTCGCTTCGAGAGAGCCGCTGCTCAGCTGTCCATAGCCGGAGGGCTCGCCGTCCGCTTGATTCGAATCTCCTTCCATGTAGGACATATCCACTGGGTAGGCAATGCCCATGACTGGCATTTTGTTGAACTCCGAAGTTTGAGGAGCCTCCGGCGAGATGGCATCATTATAGCTAGTGGCCGGCATAGTGTGCTCCTCGAGCACGGCCGACTGATCATCACTGTAAGTGGGCCGTGGTGTGGGCAGCTCAGCGGACTGACTGTTCGTGGAAGCATCTTGCTCGCCGGATAGCTTATCATAGCTGAACTCAGTCGTGTAACCGTATTCCTGCTGCTGCTCCACCTCCTGTGACTTGGTCAAATCGTTTTGCTGCTCCTGGCTCTGCTGATAGTAGCTGGGCGGCTGTGCGGTAGCCGCTGCCTCACTATGATCAGCTTGTGGTGCATAGTTATACGAGGGCGTCTGCTGACTGACCACATTGTAGCTGGGTCCATGGTTGCTATTGTTCAGCTGCAGTATAATCGATTCAATTGAGTCCACGTGCGTGGTTATGGACGAGACCGTGGTGGGATTGCTCTGCACAGCGGAGGGACGCTTCTCATTGTTATAGGTGGGCACCAGAATATATTTATCGTCCGCTGCGGCGCTAGGCTGCGTGCTGCTGGAGGAGGAGATGTACGATTGCTGCTGCTGCTGCTGCTGCTGCGGCTGTTCCTTTGGTGGCTGCACATAGACAGGCTGTGGTCCATATCCCGTGGAGAACTGTAGATCTTCGACGAGATCTGCATCGGCGCCGGGATGCGTTATGTCGCTATGCGTAAACTCGCCGCCATCCAATATCAAATGATTGTGATTATGCATATTTGCAGGCTTTGGCTTGGGCTTCACCTGCTGCACAGGTCGCTTCATGGCCTCGGCCAGTTGTGGCACGGGCTTGGCTTGAGGCTTGGCTTGTGGCTTGGCCTGAGGCTTAGCCTGAGGCTTGGGCTGTGGCTTGGGCTGTGGCTTAGCCTGAGGCTTGGGCTGTGGCTTAGGCTGTGGCTTAGGCTTCGGCCTGGGCGTGGTCGCTGGCGCCTTGGTTGCCGCAATTTCCTCAAAGCTGTTCGACTCTGAGCTGCTGTGCTCCACCTGTCCGTTTGCTATCTTATTGGGCACCTCCGTGGTAAAGGTCACAATGTCATCCACATGCTCCGGTGGCAGCGTGGCCAACACCTGCATAACGAAATCATCATTGTTTGGCGGCGATGAGAACGTGTTGATCTTCACCGAATGCTTGTGCACGTGTATGGCAGGTGGCTGCTCCGTGGGCTTCAGCTCATTGGAGTTGACCGCATCGTTATTCGTCTGCAGCTCTGCCTCCTGCTCGAATTCCACGCTGGCCGATTGGGAGTTGGTTGCCTCCGTAGAGCTGCTGCCATAGTTGAGCTCTGTCTGCGCGGCAGTCTGCACGCTCTGACCAAGGCTTACTGTGCTGCCCAGCTGCTGATAGACCTTATCCAGATTCTGTTGATCGTAAATGTTCTGCGCTGGCTGCTCATCATGGAGTGGTTGTTGCTGCTGCTGTTGCTGTTGCTGCTGCTGTTGTTGTTGTTGCTCTTGTTGCTGCTGCTGTTGCTGTTGCTGCTCTCCATAGTTCTCATAGGAAGACTGTGCTGCTGCCTGTTGCTGCTGTTGCTGCTGCTGCAACTTTTGCTGCTGCTGCTGGAAGTACGCATTCTGCGCATCATTGATCAGCGTGCTGGCCAGCTCATGTGTTTGCGGTATCTGACAGCAGGCACCAAATAGAAAGCCATCCATGCAGGCGCCCACTACCTCGCCGCCTCGCTGCGCGCACTCATGATTGAACATGCAAATGGTGGGGCCATTGGAGCGTGGATCCGAGCTGGGCAGCGTTTTGGTAGCGCGACAATGTTTGGGCGTAATGCGATAGCCGCCAAACAATTTGCGACCAGCTGCAAAGAGAGAGAGAGAAGGTGGAGAAGGGAGGATTAGAAGATTGAATTAATATAGAGAGAAGCTGGAAATTAAAGGTTGTCTAAGGGTCTGAAGAGATTTCTTGTCTTGCAAGTTGAGCTAGGCTACAAGTCTTTATATAGTCAGAGCATTAGCTATTGGTGCTTAAGCTTTAGATCTCTTGAGTTGATTTAAGAGCGAATTAGCTGCAGTTATAAGGGTTTGGAATTAGACACTGTGCTGTAGCTCTAGCTTAGTATTTTGTATACTATCTTAAGTCTGCACACCAGAGCCTAAAGCTTAAAGACATGGCCTACTCTCAACCTTAAGACTCAAAGGTCTAGTCTTAAGCACTCATTGTGTCAGCTCATCCAATACACAGTTAGTCATAGCCAGTCAATGAGCTCTTCGCGCCACTCACTCAGTCAGGACAAGTTCTCTTCTATCAATAGAGCTGTTGACTTGGCCTATCATTTTATGGGCTAGCTGTAAATGTAATTGTGCTTGTTTTTCATTTAATTAGCAACTTAATTGTTAATTGATTGCGTCCACACAAAGAAACGATTTTGGTTGGCTCCAAGAATCTAGCACTCAAAGCTGCTCCAATTTCACAAAAACCAAAAAAAAAAAAAACACTTTGACAAGCTGCTTTTGCGGCTAACTTGAAAATGGGAGCACGCAGCCAGCAAGTGGGGCAGCCAGCCAGCGCTTGAGGTGCTAATTGCCAAAATCAAGTGAGGCCTGGTGCCAGTCGGGTTATATTTTTTCTTCTTCTTCAGATAAAGCAATAAAATCAATAAGCAGCCAAATGTCAAGTGAGCTGCAACTCGCGTTTAATTTGCTAATGAGCAAAGTTGAGTGCGACATCATTTGCCAAATGAGCTGGAAAGCAGACACCAGCAGCAGCAGACGAAGTGCAGCAACAGCAGCTAAAAGTTAGCTTTGAACTTTGACATTGCAACGGCAGCGACTTGCGCACTTTCACTTGGCAACTGCCTTTCGGCTGGCCCCAATTGCAAATGCCGCTTGCTTCTCATGTTAATTGAGTTTCTGGCGTTGGTTTTTTTTTTGTTTTTTTTTTTTATTATTTTCTGAGCTGCTTTTAGCGACTTTTAGCCGTTTTCAAAACGCAATTAAGTACGCAGCTTATGGTTGCCAAAAATTGTCACTTTCATTTCAAGAATTCCATTCGCAACTATCTAATTTTCGCTAGCTAAAGCAATTATATACAGTTGCCTGACTCCGATTGCCGATTGCCGATTGCCGATTGAAGCGCCCCAAGAAACGGAAATTGCCTGAAACCCAATTAGAATGCTAAGCCACATAAATTTAAATACAAAAAAAAATTAATTGACAATCAGCGAGGCGCGCTGAAAGTGTTTAGCATTGAATGAAAGAATCTTGTGTTTGTTTAATATTTTAAATAGTTTGCCATAGAACATTAATCATGAGCAGATTTGCTATAAGAAGGAGACAGCACAGAGGCAGAGACAGAGGTATGAAGAGTAAGGGAGATAGCGGTAGGGGAAGAGGAAGCAAAGTTCGCCTATCTTTGCAGAGTTACTTACTGGAGTTTCTTACGCTCTCAAGAGATTCTTGCTAAATGCTGTTTGCAAAGACTCGTTTTAAAGACTCTTTTCAAAGTATCTATCTTTCTCTAGTATCAATAATGATGGGACAAGGAGTCTGAGTAGTCTGCAAGGCCACGAAAAATTCTCTGAAACTACTCAAATATGCCCTTTTAAAGCAGTTAAGATTATAGGTATCTATCCTCCAGGAAAGATAAAAGCAGACAGGCAATCTCCTTTTACTATATTCACTATCGAATCTAACCAAAGTTCACACAATCTTTGTTGCCAATTATTGATTTTGTTAGCCAAGCGAACCTGTTGCCGCAGCTCCTGCTACCAAACACTTTAATAAAGCTAAGAAAAAAGAAGTTCAAGTGAAAGTAAACACGTAAAGCGAATAAGTTATCAGAGGCCCAACAGCAAAGAAAAAAAGACTCCAATTAGAATGTCCAGTACGTAGCACCCGTAGCATCCAACTCCAACCGCAAGACAGAAAGAGAAAAAAAACATAATTGCGAAAAGTGATAGTGTTTTGTTTGCCTTGTTCATTTCATTTCATTTGGTTTATTTATTTATTTAATTTTTTTCTTTCTTCAAATTTATATTTCTTCATTTCGTTCGCAAGTTTATAAACGATTTCGTTTTTCTGCTCTGTGGCTGTTGGTGTTTTTTTTTTTTTTTTGTATTTTCTTTTCTTTTTATTAATTTACTTGCTCTTTGTGGCTTTATTATTTGCGGACATTTCGCAGCTTTATGATTAGACACTCAAGTGCGCTGAAGTATTCTTCCGACAATCGTTAAAAGTTAGTAAGCCCACAAACGATGTGAAATTGCCGCCAGCTACACAATGACTGTTAACTGTTAACTGTTAACAGAGCGCTCTGTTAGCACTCGCTGTTGCTGTTAACATAATGATGGAGAGTTCGCTTCGGGCTTTCGCGCTGTTTGTTCGGCTGTCTCTTAATTATGCAGCTTAGCATAATTTGTTTGCTCTAAGCTGCGCTATTTGTTAGGGCTATCATTCGCTCGAAGCTAATGGCGTAGATCAGTTAGCTGTCTCGATAATGTCTATGCAACAGAATGTTAGCTACGGACTGTAGTAGCTGCTCAATTATTTATGAATTATAACTTCTGAAACTTAGTGAACCATAAGCAGTAATTAATTTTTGAATAGATTTGTGTTACGCCTACGAATTGGAAATCCAATGAATCTATCTCTTAAAAGTTTTTGAGATGCTAAAAAAAAACAAAACTTTTCTGTAACATAATAATAATTTTGTATCTAATTAGAATACCTTAATATATCTCTTTAAATATTTATAAATTTATTTTTTATTATATAATCAAAGAATTTGCTAAATAATCAAAAACTCTCTTCACCCATGTTCCCAATTTCAACAGATACCAAATAATAAATTAAATAATAGATACCAAATAATAAATAAATTTAAATAGGTAAAGTTATGCCATTATGGCTTAACAATGCTTAGCAAATGTTCTTTATTCTCACACCTGACGGAGTCTGTGAGCAGTTCGCTCGCAATCTAGCCAATTGTGACCTTTACGCAACTCGATGGCTCAGTGGAGTCGCATAAAAGAGAGCGAGAGACTGAGCTATTCATAAAATATGCTAAGAATGCTACAACGTGAGCATTAAATATTTTTAGGGCGCACCTGCTACAAAGAGCGTAACTGAATGCGCGTGACTCCCAAAGCTGATTTGTGATTTGTTTTTTTTTTTTTGGCTTAGGTTTGGATTTCAATATAATTTGGCATGCCATGCGGTGCGGCGCGGTGACTTATCAGACAGACTGTGACCCTAATTGGCGCAACAAGAAATTCAAGTCAATGTAGCGTCATAATCGAAACGTTTTTGCATGCAAAATAGGTTACAGCATCGCAGCGGCCACACCAACAATTGTGACAACTGAGAGCAGGCAAAAAGCCGGCTCACACACACTCACACATATACGAGCGCACACTGCGCCGCTCTCTTGACTTGTTGTTAAGTGTGTCAAACGCCTGATATACATATATATAAAAATATTTTATTTCTTCTTTTTAAATATTTTATCAGCTAAATAAAGGAAAAGCAGCAGCTGAGAATGAGCTAACAGGTTGCGCAGCATCATTAATTATGAATAGCAAAAAAAAAAGGGGGGACCATTTGTTTGCTACAAAAGATTCCGGTGACTAGACTCCAGCTAGACGTAACTCCAATTCGAAATCCAATTTGAACATAATTAGTGATGAACGGTGGCAAGCTCGCTGTGTGACACTCTACACTCTAGTCAGAGTAAACAGCAAGCTTAGTTATATATCCAATTTGGATTTTGTTCAAATTGGAAGCAATAAATACTAGTATGTCATCTGAAACGCTAAATGAAACTAAAACGCTAAATTTCAATCCAATTAGATTTAAAATATCCAATCGTCATCCATTGGAATTAGGTGAATCTCTTAATAGCTAGTATCTGGACTAAATTCTAGCTTAAACTCCAATTGAAAGTCAATACACGCTTTGCTAATCATAGCTGGCAGAGTAGAAAAGCTGGCAATTCCTGTAAATCACACTAGACCTTAGCCAGACTAAACCAATCAGATTTCCAACTGGAAGAGGAATGCCAGTCGCTAATTATGTCATTAAAAACAGTGGCAACCACCGTGTGACACACTAGACCATTGCTTCCAACTTGAAATCCAATTGGTAGAAATGAAATTCAATTTGGAATTGGGAATTGGAAATGCTTTGGCTGTGAACAGTTAGCGACTGCATTTCAAACGCATTCAGTGAAATTTTACACACTCAGAGAGACGAAAATTAATTAAATCATGAAATATGCTGCATGCCGAGCCACAGCAGATCAGAGCAAAGCAGCTCGCAGCTTCCCAACTGTGTAGCTGGGAGTTCGAATTTCGAAGAACTTGTTTTCGAGCCAAAAGAATGTAAACAAACGAGGCGCTTTAACGGTAAAATGGAAAATTATTATCGATCAATTAGCTCAGCGTTGCAAAAAAAACTACTGAAATGAGAATTTCTTAAAAAATAATTTAAGACTTTTATGGAATTCTATGGTAACATGCAATAGCACGTGTCGGATCGAATTTCTATATATTTCTCTTAACCGGTTTTGCATACATTTTTCTTTTTGCTCTGATTACAATGTGAAAGTGTTGAAAAGTTCTTGTTCTACATTTATGTAAATTATAGAGTTGCATTTACTGCAAAAACCACATTTTTGAAGCTTGGAGAAAACTGGGAAATATTTTAAAATATTTAAAATATTTGTAAAATGCATAAATTAAAAAAAATTAAATGATAGAAATTTTCCCAATAACTTTTAGAACTTATAAAAAACTCGGAAATATTTAGAAAATTTAAAAATATTTTTAAAAATAACTTTTAAAAAATTGTTTAGCTTTTTTAT